TCCGATGTAAATGAAAATAGATGATTAGAAATAGTGAAATCAGCCCAAACTGCTGAATGCTAGAATATAATAATATTTTCTTTTAATATAGTAATTATTTACTTGGATATAGATTTTAACTCGTTCTCAATAGTAATCTGAGATTACTGAATTGAAAAATGTATAGGTATGTACCTATCGGGTTATATAACTATGGTAGTGAAGTTCGATATTGCTCCCGCGTGGCGAAACTATTGTGGTTGGGGGTCTTTTGTTATATACAGGGTGCCCGTTTTTCGAGTTCCAGCATGGGGATCCCAAGAGATACGAGATCGATCAAAGTAGGGCAAGGAAAATGAAAAGTAGATGTGTCATTTTCAGTTTTTGAATTATTTGAAAAAAACGAAAATTTGTAATTTTCGATTTTATTTTTTCGAGCGAAAACCAAAAGACTGACTAGGACATTCCTAAGGCACTTTTTCACAAGGAATCTGAATCTGTCATCGTATTTTCCATGACGATCTTGATGCCAAAGTTACAACACTAAACGTTGTTTTTTCTTATGGGCGCTATATATTGGATTCTTTTTTCTTCTGACTACAATGATGTATCACACGATATGATCGAATCTTTCCTGTTGATCAAAAATGGGAAAAACCATTTTTGCGTAGAACACCAGAAACACCAACATTTTTGTTTAACAAACTGAATTTTGGCAGTTCAATTGAATATGCGAACAGAATTGTTGAATTCTTAAGCTTATCCACATAACGCAAATAGGGTTGCCGAGTGTCTGTCAGATATGTTCCATGACAAGGTAATTTCCAACAACGGAGACATACGTTGGCCAGCGCGGCACCTGATCTCTCTCCGCTGAAAATGTGAACGTTCCAGATCCAAATTCAAATAAACTTTCACTCTTCGTAAAAATGGTTTTCTCCCAATTTTGATCAACAATAAAGATTTGGTCATATCGTGTGATACATCATTGTAATCAGAAAAAAGACTTTTTGAAAATGCAAAAATACAATATGGCGCCTATTAGAAAAAAGTTCGGAAAAAATAAAGTTGTGTGTTGTAACTTTGGCATCAAGAACGTTATGAAAAATAAAATGACAGATTCAAATTCCTTGTGAAAAGTGCCTTAAGAATATCCCAGTCAGAAACGTCTAGGTCTTTTGGTTTCCACTGGAAAAAATAAATACGAAAATTATAAATTTTCGTTTCCTTCCAATTATTCAAAAACTGAAGATGACACATCTAATTTTCTTGAAGATAAATGTTCAGCATGAAAATGCGCAACTTTGTCCTAATTTAACCGACCTCCTATCTCTTATAATAACTGATATCCCCATGGTGGAGCTCGAAAAACGGACACCCTGTACATATGACATGGATGCATGAAAATCGTATGAATAAGACGTTCTTGGGTAAGAAAAAGGCACAATCCAACGTTGATGCATCTTAATAACAATTATTAAAGTAGTGGAGTAAAATCCACCGAAAAAGTCGCTCCGTTCTCGAAAAAAATTTTTTCAAGGTATAACCAGTTCCGACCTTCAAAATATAATGAAGTACATATTTTTCTATCAGAATATCATTGGACGACATTTTTGAGTGGGGACGAACTTTTTTATTTAGAAAAAACTGAAAAAATAAAGAATTTTCTAAAACACAGATTTTGAAATATATCTCCTCGTAACTCTAAAACTACAATAGGTATGGAGATCAATTTTTTTTTAATAGAAAACGAATTCTTTTCTGCTTCTCACGATGGTATGATTACAGTATAAATTATCATCAGTTTTTTGTAAATTGATTGAGAACGCCAGATATCACTTTTCATGTTATATTTTTTTCAACAATCGACAAACTTTTTTCTTGTTGATTTTTTTTGTATATATGCAGCGAATAAAATGTTGAAAAATAGTCATGAAAGTTTTTGAAATAACAGAAATTTGTATATGTAGTATAGTTTTCGAAATATGATTTTTCAAAGATGTAGGTACGCATGGCATGAATATGCCTTTCGCGACAAGAGCGTGTTGGCGCGACTATAGAGCGTAGTTATAGGTTGTAGGGCAGTATGCAACAATCTGTTGAAGATGCAGTGTGTCATTTGCGAAAAGAGTGTATCATATAATGATAAAAAATTTTAAAAAAAATCCACGGATACAATGCTTGCTCTCGTTATTATCAGCAGCGGAAAGAAGAAATGATATTTGTGGATCCCGTATTCTTATGCGAAGAGAGCTGATTCTGTCTGGGAAAGAAAAAATATTTACCATAATGAATGTAGAAAAATTTCACTGGTTGCCAGAAAAATACAGAAGCGGGACCATCAACTCGGAATGCGAATGTGATTTTTGATATTGGAAGAATGTGTATCATTTGTGATAGGGGCGGAAAGAGAAAACATCAGAAATTAGTATCTGTTCAATAATAAGGTACCTATGTGAAAAAGTTTTCGAATTATAAGGACATTCGAAAATATTTCATTGAGATCTCAATATCATTGAAGAGTTAAAGAATGATAAGGATAATAATATATCATTATTCAATAATACTATCTTTTTTGAACAATCTCGAAATAATTTTCATTTGAAATGAACGAACTTTAGAAATCTCATTATTCATTTGCCATATCAAAAGAAGCATACTATGAGTAGAATATCAATTATTATGAACTGATCTGAATGTCAATCATTCGGGAAATGAGTATAAATCATGTCGTGACGATTTGACTAAAAATATATAGATATAAATAGGAAATTTTTTATTTTTAAATTATAATGTGTAGAAATATTCAAACCCAAAATAACGAATTAGGATGAATACAAAATTATGATTTATAGTTGATTTTATTCAACGATAGCATGATTTTATTTAACGATAGCCATTTTAATAAATGCTATTGAATTATAGGAACTGAAAAGAAAAGTTTCGATAAAATAGTTGACTTAGCAAAGAAACGGAACGATATAAATATGATTGGGAAAATTTCTGGTTATTTGCTCATGATGCAAAGTATCACAAGTCTTGTTACAGTCAATATATTGCCCCAAGGAATATTAAATCATTTATAAATCAGTCGAAAGAGAAAAAACATCATCAATTATATCACCAAGACATTCAAGAAAATAGTGAAGAAAATTTCGCAGAAAAATTTAAGTCAGGATCCAGTAGCTCCGAAGGAGAATCCGAATTTTTCAACGATTCAAACGTAGAATCCGAAATGCAAATTCTTTATAAAGCTGCAGGAATAATAAAAAACACATGGCAGAATTTCCGATACCTAACACATTTCCAATCAATTATTTCTTGATGTATATATCAATTGAAAATATGGTATTCATCCCTTTTACCATATATCCCTACTGAAAATCCGGAAAATTTTTGTTGGAAACACGAAAACGATTGTTGGAACCCTGTTTTTACTAAACAGGAACCTACTCCAAATTCCGTAAGAAAAATCCTGGCCATTCATTGTGCCGATAAAAACTGCACAAATAATAAGGGTATATGCATGAAAGAAGGGTAGAAATGTTCTAGTGAATGTAAATGTAGAGACTGCCAAAATACATTCAGGGATCCAGTTGGGCCATAATCAGGAAATGAAGAAGAATACTAAAATGAATATCATTTTTTGTTTGATAGTTTGGTTTAAACTCGATTATATTTTGTAACTTATGAAATCGTTTCCATTATGAAAAATATGAAATACAGTATTATTTTCCTCTATACTTGCATCATTAACCTTGAAACCATCATAAGAACAATTTCTCAACATAACATTGTGCACTGATGGAGCGGGTATTGGGAGTAGCATAGGCACTGGTATTGCGCTGAGCGCGAACAGTTACCGGAGGCGCGGAATTAGCATGTTTTTAAAAAATCATACCGTCAAAACTATTTCATATGTATCGAATTTTTTCAATCTAAAAACTTTTTCGACTCATTATCTCAATTTCCTTCGCTGATTGTATATAAAGAATTCGAATAATAAAAAAGTTTTTCGATCAGTGAAAATTTCATCTCACGGTTTTCACTATTTCATATTCTCAACTTATTCAGAAAAAAAACCGATTTCATTACATCATTCTATTGGCATGATGAGAAGCGCTAGATTATCTCCTTTCGATCAAACGAAGAAGCGAATCAATATCTCAAGTAGTTCTCGAAATATTGAATAATATGTTTAGTAAAACACGATTTTCGAATATCCAACTTTTTTCGTATTTTTTTTTAATAAAAAAGTTCGTCCCCACAGAAAAATGTCGTCTAGCTGGCCTATGATGGAAAATCACATAAGGAACATTATCTAATAGGTAGGATTTGGTTATACCTCGAAAAAAAAAAACGACACATTTCATCCCCGATTTTACTCCTCTAAAGATGATTCTATGATTCTTGAAAACAGTTCCTCACAGATCAAAAATGAACAAAGATTGATAGATGACACGACCACCAACCAATCAAGTCGCGGAACTTAATAGGTACCTACCCGTACCTACCTATGTACTTTTTAAAGATCCAAAACCTATCTGAAGGACCAAGTTTTGGTTAACAGTATAAAATAATCTTTTGAAAAAATATGATTTGAGTGAGCACAGTATCTGCGCTAATTGAGAGAAATAATAAAGTTGCTTGCGAGATTCTTATTCTTTCTCCCATTCAACTGACAATCCCTGAACTGTAAACAAAGAAACCCTCCAAGTTGCCTCCAAGGAACCTAACAATAGGTAATAAACACAATAATATATTAAAATGCTAATTGAAAATTTGTTGAGATTTCCAGGAAGCAACCTGTCTTCTTAACCAGGTCTCTCAATAGTCAGTTGAAGCAGCTCCAGCAAAAAACAAGAAATAAATTAGAAATCACTTGCACTTCCTTTTATAATTGATGATGTGCTGGACACTTTCCTGCACATTTCTTTTGTAGATATATCAAAGAATAAATAATTGGATCCCTATCTTTCAAAACCATCTATAGTGTTGCATCAGATATTGCACCATCAGAGTCTACTTTCAAATTTCAAAACTTCCTACCTACTTTGACCCCTACAAAAATCTCACTACATGGTCGACCGAGCTACCTTTTAATGAAATAATATTCAGAAACAATATTTTAATATCCTCTAGAACTACATTATCACAGGGCAACATATCAATGCTATACCTGACCATAAGTAGTTAGTCCGGTAAGCTGCGGTCGCGAAACTCGAAAGGTCCTTCCAGTCCAGTCGTTGACCCAGACTTATTCACGTTCACTAGGAGGTCCCATCAAACGGAGAAACCTCATCCACTTCCTTTTCTCACGCACTGGTACGCTCGCTGTCTGAATCTTTGCTCTTCAGTGACTTCTTCAATTTATCCAGCAGGCGGGTATGGAATTTGTTTAGACTCGGCTCAGAGCCGTTCTTTGGCGTTGAACTTCCAGGACTTTTGATTGGACTCTGCAAACTCCCTTCACCTTCACTACCACTAGCCCTCGAGTTTGCTCGAGAAAACTGCCTAGATGACATGTTGGCGGGCACAGATCTATGCGTCGGCGACGTCACGAATTCGGAGCCAGGCGAAGTCGACAAGCTAGGGCCCTCGGAGCGGCACTCGGACACCTTTCTTGATCTACAAGTCGTTGCATTCGAGCACTCGGACACCCGTCTCGTTCGATTGGATTTGTAGATATCCCAATCGTTTTTCACAACCGGCATCATGAAAGCCATGGTTCATTAATCACGAACACGAAACAACAACGAATTTGGTTATAAACAAGCGGTGACGCAAGACGCAACACAGTAGGTCAAGCAAAACAGTCTTTCTGTAAATGAGGTTTCTGTGTGTACGGAACAGTTTTATGTCATCGGCCACCTTACTACGAGCATCGCGATTGGTGGAGATCGCGGAGTAGGGGAAATACGACGCGAGATTTTGATTTTTGAATGATTTAGTCACGTAGTCACGCACACATTCATCGCTTTTACGCTTTTACAATCAAAACAAATTTACAAACGGGATTGCGCAGTTATTTCGTATTGTAGAATAAGGTGCTAGTATTGGGGCATTTTTGTTCCAGTATTTTTTTTTTTCGATAAACTCATCACTTTTTACCACAGAGATTAGCCCAACCAGAGGCCCAACATGTCCCAACCCAATCATGTCTTTTATCTTCGATTCCTTGATAATTGGCCCCGGTTGATGTGAAGGAGTCTGTAATGGTCTGCAGATACAGTACAGAGTACTGTTATTTTATAATTTAAAAACTGCGAACCTAGAACTAGAAATCTGTAAATGGCGATAACTGTAAAATTATCGAGAATGGTAGAACTCTTCTGCTTCTTACTTCTTCTTTGTTTATGGATCCTGGTCTTACCCAGTTTGCTCTCTTATTCGTACTCAACTTTCAATTTACGATTTCCGAAGTCATGAGGTATTTGTAAACTTTGGTATAATATTGATTTTTTCTACACGATTCTACTTATAATATGAGAATAATGAATAAGAATCATATAAACAAGAAGAGAATATTTGACCATATGTCCGAGATCGATGAAACCGAATAATAAGAAAAAGAAGAGATTAGCATATAACCTCAATTCATTGACACTCTACCTTGACAGGAAAGCTTGAAGAAAAAATATCAACTCATCGTTTCCAATTTTCAAAGGTACACGAGAAAAAGCAGACAAAGCTGAAAGCATGTCTAAAGTTAACGAAGTAGCTGCCTTGTATAAGCAGTTGAAATCAGAATGGAACACGACCAATCCAAATTTAAGCAAATGTGAAAAGCTCCTATCAGATTTGAAGGTAAGTTCTAGCCAAAAAGACAACCAAAACCTGACATATCTATTTTTTATAGATTGAATTAACTCATTTGATATTCCTTCCAACTTCAAATGCCAGTGCATCTAAACAAGAACTTCTACTTGCAAGAGATGTCCTAGAAATTGGGGTACAATGGAGTATAGCAGCCAATGACATACCTTCCTTTGAAAGATACATGGCTCAACTCAAGTGCTATTATTTTGACTATAACACTCAACTTCCAGAATCCTCATTCAAATACCAATTGCTTGGTTTGAACTTACTGTTTCTACTGTCACAAAACAGAGTTGCTGAGTTTCACACAGAGTTGGAACTACTACCTGCTGATCATATTCAAGATGAGGTTTATATCAGGCAACCTCTCTCTATTGAACAGTACCTTATGGAGGGTAGTTACAATAAGGTAAAAATACTTTGAATTTGTTGAGCTTTGTTCAATATAATACATGTTGTTTCTAGATATTCTTGGCAAAAGGCAATGTTCCAGCAAAAAGTTATAATTTTTTCATGGATATTCTGCTGGATACCATAAGAGGGGAAATAGCAGACTGTCTGGAGAAGGCTTATGAGAAAATTTCCGTGAAAGATGTGGCAAGAATGTTATATTTGCCTAGTGAAGAATCTGCTAAAGCATTTACAACAAAGGTATTCCTGTATGAAAGTGGAGTTTACTTGGGTTCAATTTGGGATGTTTTTCAGAATAAACAGTGGAAATTGGGTAAAGACAATTTCTTCCATTTCACCCCAGAAGAGAAGAAAACCCATGAGCCTATACCCTCCAGAGAATTGGCCCAACAAGCTATTGAATATGCCAAAGAATTGGAAATGATTGTATAAGGAGGCATTATTCTCCTTGAAATAAATTAGGTATATTTTTCTTATGTGTATTTGCATTGATATTTTATTTTCAAAAATATATCAAAATCAAACAATGTTTCCTGTATATTTAGAAACATTCATTTTATTGAACATTTTATAATGTTTGCCTCCTATTGAATACGGAAAACATGGGATGTTTTGGGTTTCATTTATATAAATAACTAGCTGACCCTGCAAACGTTGTTTTGCCATAAACATTATTTCTAGAAAAATTATTTCAGATGAATTTTCATCAAAAACTTTCAATTTATTTCTACTCCTTTTTAGTTTGGCTGTCCATGAAAATTCTTTAGTTTTTCAAACTATTCTTTTTATTTTCTACATCTTTTTAGTTCGGCACTCTATATCTCTTCATTTTTTCAAACCACTCTTCATTTTCTACTCATTTCTTTTTAGTTTGGATATCTATAAAAATGTATTCTATTAGTATTTCAAACTATCTACTTCTTTTTAGTTGAACAATCTATCTCGTTGTTTTCAACTATACTATCAATTTTGCTACTTCTATTCATTATAGTTCTTCAAACTACCATTTATCACAAAGCTCTCTCGCCATATTGGATCCGCCATCTTGAATTAACAAATTTCAAAGAATAAAATCATAATCTCCGACCCCGAAAAAACCGCCAGATACAAATTTTGAGTAGAATCGGATCATAATTACAAAACTCGTCCGCCATATTGGATCCTCCATCTTCAAATTTCCTAATTTTGATGAAAGAATCATAATTTAAGACCCAAAAATCCCCCAGATACAGATTAGAAATGGAACCGATTCATAGTTACAGAACTCGTCCGCCATATTGGATCTGCCATCTTGCCATTTTCAAATTTTGCTGAAAGAATCATTATCTCCGACTCAAAAAACACCCAGATACCAATTTTGGATAGAATCTGATCTAAATAAAAAACTTGTCCGCCATATTAGATCCGCCATTTTGAATTTCCTAATTCTGACGAAGGAGTCATAATCTCCGACCTCGAAAACCCCCAGTTACCAATTTTGATAGAATCTGACCATAATTACAAAAGTCGTCCGCCATATTGGATCCGTTAGGTACTCGAATTTCTGAATTTTGACGAAAGAATTTAAATCTCTGATCTCGAAAAACCCCAGATACCAATTTTGAATAGAATCGGATCATAATTACAAAACTCGTCCGCCATATTGGATCCGCAATCTTGAAGTTCCAAATTTTGATGGAAAAATCATGATCTCCGAATCCAAAAACCTTCAGATACCAATTTTGAATAGAATCGGTCCATAATTGAAAGAACTTGTCCGCCATTCTGAATTTTCTAATTTTGATGAATACATCATAATCTCCGACCCAGAAAACCGCCAGAAACCAATTTTGAATAGAATCGGACCATAATTAAAAAACTCGCCCGCCATATTGGATCCGCCATTTTGAATTTCCAAAATTTGACGAAAGAATCATAAACTCCGACCTTGAAAACCCCCAAATACCAATAGGCGAAACATGCTAAGGAGTACGCCCTCTGTCGTCCTGAATATAACTAACGTATGGGCCATGTAATACTTTGTCTAACTTTTTTCAAATTAGTTTACATGTGTTCCATTTGAGAAGTTATTGAATAAATTTGTCTGAAAATATTCAACACGTTGAAAATATAGCATAATACCGCCTGTAAACAAATATAAACAATCCCGGAATGGCCCATAGAGTAGTACCAGTTTCGCCGTTCTGACGCTGCGATCTTAATCTCAGTCGCCTATTTTGAATGAAATCGGATAACAATACTCGTCCGCCTTATTGGATCCGCCATCTTGAATTTTCGATTCAAAAAATAGATTACGATTCTCATACCTACCGAATACGCAAAAAAAATTTCATAGGAATCGGTTGAGCCGTTTCGGAAGAGTTCAACCACTAACACCATGACCAGGACAGGAGAATTTTATATATTAGATATTGTTGTAACATTGGCTAAATTCACAAAATTCTAGCAATTTCTGGGCCTATGGAATGGCCCAGAAAAAGGCTAGATTCCTTCAATTTTCTCTCCATCTAGCTCACATTGGCTGTACAATCAAAGTTTTTCCATTCCTTTGAAAACTCCAATACTCTTTTGCTCTGCTCTTGAAACTGCTGACTTTTAGGCCTCCTCCACTTACTATGATGCAGATCCAACATACCTCCTATAACTTCCTGTGCAAAATTGGTTGGAAATAGTTCTTCATCCTCAATAACATGAGCATAACCTTCCTCCATACCAAAAGACACAAAAAAATAAGGCAAACCTTTTGGAATAGCTTTTCTAACATCCCTACCTTTAAGAGACACAAGTTTTTTATTCTGTGACCACTCTGTCTCTGACTCATCAATGGCTTTTCTGAAATATATAGGAGCCATATCACCATCTTCTTTTGGAAGAGGTACACACTCAATCAACATGTGTGGAAATTTGTGAAAATACATGGCATATTCAAAAAAGATCACATCTTCACCTTTGGATCTGAATAAATTAACAAGAGCTCTGCGAAAATCCAGAATATTAGACCACTCATTCTCATCAAGTTGAGTTGAGCAGGGTACATGTCTTATAGGTATTATTAGGCAATGCCCTTCAGTTAGAGGTTCATAAGTGGGTAGTGAAAGGTAAGCTGTTTCACCCATGGAAATCATCAAGTGTTTAGGCATACTCTCAGATTGTATACAGCGAATGCAATTTTCTAAGCTTTTTGTAACTTTCTTGTGTTCACTGATAGCCCTATCCCTATTCTTAGCATCAATCTTCAAATCAGATTGAGACTTTCTTATGTTATCAGAGAATAAATCATCCATGTCATCTTGTTTGCTGATTTTACTAGTCATTTCCAGAAACTCCTTATTCTGATCTTCTACTGAATTATATTTTTCATTTTCAAACATTTGTTTCAGAGAATACTTGTCATCATCAGCAAAATATCTGATTCGTTCTCCATCTTTATGTGTCTCAACTTTCTTTTTCTTCTTGTGGACAGATGGTTCATTATAATCACTCTGTAGTCTAACTGGTTGTGACTTTCCTTTGGAATCTGTGTGTGTCAAAATTACTTCTTCTTCATTAGTTGCCTCCAGTTCTAGAGAACTCCTAGCATTTTCTAGCTTATTTTTCAATTCATTAATAAGCTTTGTATTTCCCATAATCTCAGCTTTTACAAGTTTAGCTGCCAACATGTTCAATTCCTTCTCTGTAGTAACTACACTTTCTGATACTCTTTCATCAATATCACTACCTTGTTTTTCTACTGTGGTGCTTTTTGAGGTGGACTGCTTTGAAACATCTCTGGGTTTCCTCCAATTAGAAGACCTACTGCTGTATTTGCCACTTTTAGGGTTTATACATGGTTTCTCCTCATCAGATTCTGGCCTTTGGAATTTTGGCAAACCATCACCACCATCTTTCCAGTAAGGATTTAATTCTCTAGTGCATTCTCTTGGATTGTATTGTTCTTTTTCTCTCTGCAATCTTTTTTGATTTTCCCTCTCAGTTTTTCTTTCTAGAGTAGAAGAAGTTGAAAAGGAAGTAGGTAAATTCATCCAGTTGTCTCTTTTCAGGTCAGAATTGAGATCACTATTTGAGACCCCACATTTCTCTTTATATTGTAATTCACTAGAACTTGACTTATATCTACTCCTTTTATTTTTCCTAGACCTCTTTCCATCTTCATCTGATGAAATTGAGTCATTAGAACTTGATCTGTACTTTCTCCTACCATTAAATACCTTTTTAACAGTTTTGTCTTCCTCAGATGAAGAACATTCTACAATTTTTTTCTCCACCCATTCTTCCTCAGAGCTGGTCCCTTGTGATCTCTTGGATATTTTCTTATCTTTCTTGTTCTTCTTGGATTTGCTTTTATGTTTGCCCTATGAATGATATAATATATTATATAAAATCATTATAATCCAGCAAAAGTACACAATGATTCTTACCATTATTCCATTGACCCCATCAATGACATCAACATCAAACCACAGTAATAAGTAATAAGAATATTATGAGTTCATAGAAAATATCAAGAGCAAGCACAAACGAAGCTCCAGAAAGGCAGAAAAGTAAATAATAATGAGAAAATTCAGAAAATAGAGGTTAAAGCGCTTCTTCTTCTCATTTTTCAAAAGAGTCAAGCCTCTTATAAAAGTTTTCTTTTTAATGGTTCGGACTTCAGTCTCTGCCTCAGTTAACAACCTCAGTACCTAGTACCTATCCGCCTGTGTATTGAAATTTCTGATCCTGTGTCCTATATGAACTGTGTCCTTTACGTATCTTAGAAAAGAAGTACTTGTTCATGTCTTAAATGTCAATATCGACAAATTTCAAACGTCAAATAAACAAAGAAAAGGAAAATATACAACTGTTTTTGTTATGATTTGGGAATTTTGAAATGAGTTGGTGACGTTCATGATATTAACCATTACTTTTTTACTTTGTTGCTACTGTTAGTACTGTTTCTTGTTACAGTTTCGTATACTGAACTCTTCTGATGAGTGACTAAAAGTATTGTGTAGTCACGGCTCTAAGATCCAAAGGCCCCCTTATGAATTTGGGTCTCTTCAACCGTATGAACTTGAAGGTATTTCCGGCCCAATCAATCTCAGCATAACTATTTAAAGAATTATACTATTATAGGAAAGCAGTGAAAGCAAAGGAATGTACTCAGAATGGACGTCTTTGAATCTGGCAGTTCAACAGGGAGAACCAACCAGTGTTTTAGAGAAATTTGGTTTGCCAATCAGCAAAGAAGTCACTTTGGGTCTTGTACATCAACTGGCAAGTAATTTAGGCATAACACAACCACCTGAACCAAGTCTTTTAACAACAGACAAAGATGTGAGTTTTTTTTTTCACAACCAGCATTATAAATGAAAATGTATTATTCCATTAGGTACAATGGTGTATGGAAGTTATATGTTTTGGTCTTTCATTACCTCTAGCAGAACATGAAGCCATTAAAGATTGTGTTAATGTATACTGTGAATGGCTTACTGCACTATTACCTAACCCAAAAATATGTGTACCACAACCAGTTCTTGATGACCCTAATGTATATTCAAGAAACATAATCAGCCACTTGCATTATTTATTCATACCCAGAAAAGGAGAAGGTAAGCTTTCATTCTTTGTGGAATGCCTGCTTTCAATTGGAATATCTGCACTTGAGAATTTTTTGGGCACAACATAATTTTAGTCTGAACACATACAGCCATTAACAAGTTCATATTTCTTTTCAAGACTGGGCCTTTCTTTATCAGGATTTAGGTAGGATATAGTTGTATTGATTTGTTGAATAATTATGCTTTTGTGAGCTTACATGATTTAATTGATTTCAAGCTATACTAATGCACTATCTGAAGACTTAAAACTTCTTAGTTTTAATTGTATTCATTAAGATACATGAACCTCCATGAAAACAACCACAAGTACATATGAATGAATCTCAAGGTTTTCTAGTGTAAATTTCAATTTTTTAGTCAGAAGAATCAACCTGCTTTTTGTTTAATATGCATCTCAACCTCTCAACCTCCAATTATCATTGTTGAATTAATTTTTTTCTTGATTAAGTGTTCAATCTGTATATTATAATATATTGATATTTTTCAACACATTTGTGAATCACAAAATTGAGGAACTGAAATTATATATATATTTTTTGATAATGTGGTTATTTTCTCTAGGTGGACATGTATTTTAAAAAATATATAAGGTAAATTTTAATAGAGGATTTTAATAATTTTATAGGTTTTGATACAATCAACAGACAAGCAGTGTTTTGTCACAGAGTATTGAGAACCTTACAGCAAATTGCTCATGAATCAAAACTCTTAGAAAGAGAAACTTGGGAAACTCTATTGCTATTTCTTCTGGCTATCAATGATACCTTATTGTCACCACCTACAGTCAAAGATGATGTAGCTGATCAACTGTGTGAAAGAGTACTCAGTGTCTTATTTGAAGTAAGATATTTCATTTTTCACAAATTCAAAATTGCAGTGGTTTCTGCTCTACAAAAACATTATGCTGATAATGAGGATAACCTGACTGAATATAAATATTAGATTTTTATTCTAGGTTTGCCTATGAACAATTCAATAAACAAGATATTAAATTCTAATTTCTGAAAATTCTGGAACTAGAATATATATTTCAATATATTTTCTCCATCTACTTTTGATACTTAGTTACTCAGAATTTTTGACTTCTGCACCATGAAATCAGATTTTTAAAAGCAGATAATTCAAAATACATTTCCAGAAGAATTGAAGGAATTATGTTGGTTCATATTATAATGCAATGCAAGAATTAAATAATTCCAAACAAGGCATTGAATTAGCATTTGAAATTTCATCAAACTTAATTTAATCAATTATTTTGCAAACCAAATAAAATTTTAAGGATAATGACAAGGGGCAAAATTTAGGTATTGAATGGTGGAAATGAGAAATGATTTTAAATCTACCAAGTGATGTACTCTGTTGTTTTATCAGTTGTGTTATTAACAATTCTCAAAATATGTACCACCCTGTATGACAATTGAGAAGTTTTGATGTGCTGTTAATGCATATACTTAACACCTTAGTGTACCCACAAAACCTCAGGGCTATATTCATCAATTATATTGAAACATCAATTGGTAACTGGGGGGTTTCAGAGTCGGAGATTATGATTCTTTCTTCAAAATTTGGAAATTCAAGATCGCGGATCCAAATATGGCGGACGAATTTTTTAATTATGATGAGATTTCATTCAATATTTGACTCTTGAGGTTCTTGGGGTCGGAGATTATGATTCGTCCATCAAAATTTGGAAATTCAAGATGGCGGATCCAATATGGTGGACGAGTTTTGTAATAATGATCCGATTCTATTCAAAAATGGAATCTGGGGGTTTTCGGGTTCGGAGATTATAATTTTTTCGTCAAAATTTTTAAATTCAGGATGGTGGATCCAATATGACAGACGACTTTTGTAATAATTATGGTCAGAATCTATCAAAATTGGTAACTGGGGGTTTTCAAGGTCGGAAATTATGATTCAAAATGGCGAATCTAAAATGGTTGACGAGTTTTTTAATTATCAGATTCTATTCAAAATCGGTATCTGGGTTTTCAGAGATGGAGATAATTCTTTCATCAGAATTTGGAAATCCAAGATGAAAGATCCAATATGGCGGACGAGATCCATTCAAAATTTGTATCTGGGGGATTTTAGGGTCGTAGATTATGATTTTTTCATCAAAATTGTGGAATTAGAGATGGGGGATCCAATATGGCGGACGAGTTTTGTAATTATGATCCGATTCTATTTTTTTTCTTTGAAATTGGGAAATTCAAGATGGCGCGATGGCGGATCCAATATGGCGAAAAAACTTTTGTAATGAATAGTAATTTGAAAAACTATCATGAAACACGCTTTTATGGATAGCCAAACGTGGCCAAACTGAATAGAAGTATAGTTTAAAAAACGAGACAGATTGTGGAACTAAAAAGAAGTAGAAAATAAAAATAGTAGTTTGAAATAGAAACACGACTTTATGGATAGCCAAACTAAAAAGAAGTAGAAAACAAAATAATAAAAGTGTTTTGATAAATATTTAACTAAAAATATATTTTCTAGAATTAAATTTATATAGCAAAATAACGTTTGCCGGGTATCAGCGATTGTAATAAATAGTAGTTTGAAAAACTAATGGAACACGTTTTTATAGATTGCCAAACTTAGTAGAAAATAAAGAGTAGTTTGAAAAAATGAAGAATCCCGCTTTAACGGATAGCCAAACTAAAAAGAAGTAGAAATAAGATAATAAAAGTTTTATAGTGATTATTCATCTAAAGAAATTCTTTCTAGAAATAATGTTTATGGCAAAACAACGTCTGCCAGGTCAGCTAGTTTTCTATATAATTGGTCTTGCTCATGAATGTAGGACTAATGGGTGAGGAGCTAGAGAAAGTTAAAAATTGTCCGAATTTGCGTACTTTGCAAAAAAATAGCGTTCTTCGTCGGTTTTTGCAGCTACTCCACCTATCCTATCCTGATATTTTCATTTTTCAATTTTCAATCTAGAGTGCCATGAATGAGTTTAAACAGTTGATTCAGAATAATGTTGCCTAGGAAAAATAGTTTCCATGAAGTTTTACTTTTTTATTTGTTCCACAGGTTCAATCAAAATTTATAATATCGTAATTATGATGTTGGCTCAATTTCTTCAAAAATAGAACAAGGGTGGCTCATTATCATATCTGAGAAGGGTATTTTTTTACAAACGTTGATACCACATAATCGATATTTTGAATCAATATCCAGTATCATAATGACCCTAGACGGACAATTGAAAAAAAGTAAAAATATACACAACTAATTTCATTTGTATATTTATAGAAACAAACGAGTTATAGGGTTGAGTAACTTTTGAGTAACACCCGATATAGACAATTTCATCTTCTTCAACTTTCTATAAGGTGCTCTCTTTGATGAAATGTATAGTTTCCGAGTTACCGACACAAAAATTAAAAAAGTGCGAAAGTTTCGGAACGCTCGAGGAAATTTTGTTTGCAAACTTCAGATTCGGTTTCAGCACCCCCAGAAACATATCAAACCTTAGAGAAACCGACTACTCGAATTTCTTCCACGAGAGGATTTTTATCGTTACCGTTTTACTAAGCTAAACCTTCACGGTCGATTTTCTAGATATGGCTTTTAGCCTGCGCCCAATGTTTCCCCTCGCCGCCTCTATGGAAAACTTTGAGGGACTCCTGCATGAACTGGAGGCACAGGGTGGCGCTGATCGAACAGTGGAACAGGGTGAATTTGGCTTTGACCTCGAAAGTTTTGGTATTCATGTACGGACCGACGTTTCCGGAATTGAAAATCGGAGAAGACGATCTCATACCAGCTGGAATGACAAATGACTGTGTGGCGCAGAGCTGGTACAGGTTTTTGAATACTGTTGGCAACCCTGTAAGCCTAACCAAACCGAAAGTGAGTACCCAACATACTTTCCCAATGACGGCTAAATATCTACACTTTCTGAAGGTCCGTCAGACAGTCCAGATATTTAGCCCTCATTGCACTTTCCAAAGAATGTTTTTATTTCATTTCTGGTAATTAATATAGGTTATAAGTCAGACGCAAAAATTCCTACAGTTTGCCATCAGCACAGATGGTGTTGTGGATCCATGTCAGCACCCCTGTCTTTTGTCTTTACCGCTGATTTTTCTTAAAGCCATAAAAGGAATTGCTGGACAAGTAGATGCCTTCCTGGGTTTGTATATGCAAATAATATTTGTTCGTTGAATAATGTATTAACAATTTTTGTCCAAACATCTCTTGCAGATCAACATCAGCTTGAAGTTGTTTTGTGCTTGGATTTGTTTATTTCTGAGAAAAAATCCCATATAAACCATTTTCAAATTGATACATCCAAGACTAGGATGTTGTTGGAATTTTTATGTACTTTGTGACAGGATCCAATCACAAAAAAATCACTGTAGTGTCTCTCTCATTTTCTTTGTACTATGAAAATCATATGTCTTTAGATATCATAGAACAAAAACTTCTTTTGGATAATTTTGGGCACAACTTTTCTTCAAACACTTTTCTACTTCATATTGAACAATAACCTGTAAACATGGGAATATTAGAGAAGGCTGATAAGACTAGTAGAATAATTGGAATTTCAAAATGGCTGAAAAAATCTGCAAGTTGCACCAGGCTTGTAATTATGTACCAGTATAAAAATTAAATTTATAGACCCAATATGTTTTTAGGAGTAATTGAAATTACCTTGGTTCTGGATGACAATGTGAACAAAGTCAAAATTGCTTATTGTAATAGAAGCAGTTTTGATATGCATATTGGGCAAAGTAATGACTTCCTCAAAGATGCCAAAAAAGAAATTATTTGGTAACATAACTATTTGCCAAATCATGCTGAATATTGAGACTTGAGTAATGGTAGCTATAAAATCACCATAAGCTCATTTCTGCTTATAATTTTCCAGAAATGTAAATTCAATAGATATTTCATATTGACAGGAGTCAAATGTGAGTGACGTTTTAAACGTCACTATGCCCTATGGGAGATTTCATTCTATTTGTGAAGGGTGTTCTATGGTGATCGGTTGTCTAGCCTTAGTTTCTTGAGTTTCCCAATTGATTTTATGAATTGAATTTTATATTCCATTTATGCGAAATGAAATACGATCGTAGAAAGATCGTCACGAGTGCACAAAGCATGGTTATCGCTAATTGTCACTATGAACTTTTTGCACTAGTTACACGTAGAGTCCCTGAATGTACTTGATAGTTTTGCTGTGATAGGTCGCGTGCACGATGATCGACCCTGGAGGTAAAATATTGAAACACAACCTCACTTTTCTGTAAAACATTGAAACACAACCTCACTTTTTTTATTTGTTTACGGAGGAATCAATGGATTGAAATAGTTTTTCACGATATTTTGGCATACGAATCCTGTTTTTTGCGCTATTCATTAGTTCAAGCATGGCTTCTCATTGTGCTGTTGTACAATGCACAAAAAATGCAGCGAGAGACGAAGGCATCATTATGTTTATTGTTTATGTATCCCTATTATATATATATATATAACAACTATGTTTCTTGGGGTAATAAAGACAATCAATCAACCAATCAATTTGTGCACAAGTGAAATTTGGTAATCTCTATGATTCCCCATCGGAATTCCTTCTGCGACAGCAGCTAATAGAAATACTCGTGAAATTTCTGAAATAATGCAAGACGATTGGATTCATGAAGCATCTCAGATTCATGTAATCAAACGGCAGGACTGGTCTGACATGCTTATGAATTATGATCGTGTGTGTTGTAGACATTTTCAATCTATTAGTAGTATTTTAGCTTCTATTGTAGATGTGGCAGAAGGAATTTTAATGAGAAATGACAAAATTTCATAATGAAAACTATGTGAGATTACTATTTACCTGAAAAATCATATTTCTTCGTCTCTCGCTGCATTTTCTGTGTATTGTACAACAGCACAATGAGAAGGCATGCTTGAATCAATAAATAGCGCAAAAAACACGATTCGTATGCCAGTATATTGTGAAAAACCATTCCAATCCTTTCCTCTGTAAACGAATAAAAAAAAGTGAGGTTGTGTTTCAATGTTTTACAAAAAAGTGAGGTTGTGTGTTAATATTTTACCTCCAGGGTAGGTCATCGAGCACGTGACCTATTACAGGAAAACTGTCAAATATAAACAGGGAATCTAGTTACACGAAGAACTGTTTGTGGGTACAGGTATCGCACAGCCCGTATGGTGGGACTCGGTGGTGACAGGCGCAGGCGGGGACAAGAGCAAAGAAGCCCCACCGATCACGCATTCTCCCACTCCCCCCACGCAGCGCAGGCTAGCTAAAAGTTTCAGTGTCAATCCGTCTTCCGCTAGCAAGGGTAGAGTTTAGATGGTTTTGTGTTGTTTTTCCAATAGAACAAATTGAAAGTACTGATCTTGACATCGATATTACAGAATATCTAGCAATCAGACTCTTTATTACACAGGGTGTTTGGTGCATCGTGTGCCAAATTGAAATGGTCGAATGAAGGGGTCATCTGCTATCCTTTAAGACTAGTTAACACCTTTCATGCCCTGTGGATTATTTTTAATCGTCTTTTTATCTGTTTATCAAAAAAGACCCAAATTCCACATTCAAATACAAATTTTTAAAGAAGTATGAGGCGTAGACTCTGAATTTTAATTTTATTCAGATGTGTGTTATGTTAGGCTGTTTAATTTACATTCAGAAATTCAATTCAAAATGAAAATTCACATCTTATCTGATTGCTAGATATTTTGTGATGAGTTCACAAAACAACATTTAGGTCATGAAATCAGAACATATTCTCGATCTTTTCATATTGTTCTATTTCTGTATTAGTTTTCATTACTTTTTAAGCACTTTTATTATTTGGAAAATTGAATGGCACTTTAGATTTACTTTTTTCACTTTTTAGAAACTTTTCCACTTTCATGAAAATAAAATTTTATTTCACTAGCACATGCCTATTGCACTGATTCAAATCGTTTTTAGCGGTAAACTATCATTCATTCTCGACGTGTCAAATAAGAAAGACAACTCGAGTCGGTCAACCACAATTTATAAAACCATAAAAATTGATGTCTTTTAGGCATATACATTTAAAGTCATATTGTCTGATGTATTCCGTTTTGCCGAAAACGGTCACTGTGTAGTTTTTAAGTTTTTATAAAGTGTGGTAGGCCGACTGAGTTGCCTTTCCTTTGAGTTTTTTACGAAGTTGATTTTATTTGAAAATGATTATTTTTTCACGATTCATATTATTTTAACAGCTTCACTTTTTCATTCGGAAAAAGTCATTCTTTGTTGCAACACCCACACCTCATATTTTCTAATGTTTAAGATTCACTTATGATTCGAATGAATTCATAGGCCAGCATTTGAGCATTTATCAAATTATGATTTCTGTAAAACCATGTATAACTATTCAAAATATGGATTTCATTGTATTCTGGCATATTCTGATGGAAATTCATACTAAGCCAAACACTGAATGCCTAACAAGAAGCTTGAATTCATTTGAGCAAAAGCTATACCCTTAAAGTCAGAAATATCTAATTCCATTCGTTATACGCGGTGAACAAAATGTTCTTCCGATATTCCAGTGGATATAAAAATAAATATAAAGGGAGATGAACCCCATCGAAGGGGATGATAAATATTGATTTTCCTGCAAATATCTCAATTTTTCACCTGTCACTTCCGCTAAAAGGGTATTTTTACAGGGTAGTATTTCATCCCTAGCTTTTTCCATTTTTTGAACATTTCTAAAAGTTTGTATGAGAAAACCACTTCTACATAATTAGAAATGAAAAGGTTTTCTTATCGAATTTCGGTAAACCAAGCCGTTTTCGAATAATTTATGTTTAGAAATCAACGTGCGACTACTCCTGATTGACTTTTTATCATAACAGCTAACAAGACAAATCAAGATAATTCTATTCGAAATCGTTTTGACACTATTAGACTTTGTAAAATTGATATTTATTATCATCCCCCTCTAAAGCGGTATTTCTCCCTTAATATTCAATTTGGGAAGTGATTTTACTACGGTACTTCAACTTTTTTATGTACTATAAATACCATTAGCTACAAAAATATTGGGAGGCAATTCAGAGGACCGTGTATATAATCTTCAATCTAGAATCTGAAGATGAGATATTGCAGAAATATCGAGGTTTCTTTATATATTTTCGTAAGTAAGACATTACTTAATTTTTTCTCGATCTCTTTCTGAACTAATGTGTGTGTGAATAATTTTCTAGATTATTTTTTATTTATAACACTTCATTTCCAACTTAGATTCCATTACTTACATGAGCTTATCAATTTAACTGATGATAGTGCCCTGTGGATTTACTTGCCTTTGTTTTGTAATTTCATATGGTATTTCGTGATTTAGGGTTACCCAGAACGTCATTGATAGGCCTGACGACTAGCCGTAGTTCAGCAGTTCCCCCTCCATCTAGTACAAATTCGGGACCTTCTTCAGCATCAAGTATATCATGTAAGACTTTCAAACTTAGTTCTACTTTGACAGTGAAAGATATATCGCGATATCTTCCCTCTTAGAAAAGATATGACAGTATGTAAGGATAAATAGGCGAGTGGAGTAATTTCTTTTTTCTGCAACCGACACAAAAGTCGTCCATTTTGATACCAAAATTAGCTCAAATTGACGTTTCAATTACTGACACAAAAATAGGTATGTTGCTAGGCAACATATTTAGTTCCTAGGAGCTAAAGTTGAATTTTAGTTCCTAGGAGCTAAAGTTGAACTAAAAAGGATGTACTGGACGTCATCAAGAATAAACAACATTGTGACGGTTGGTTATTTGGGTTGAGACGCATACCTGATTTGTTTCCGATTTCAGCAGATTTGGCATTTCATACCCATGCTGGAGATATAAATACACCTTATTATAGTTCAGTATTGGAATTATAAACATCTCAGCTGAGTATTTTTGTTTGATCAGGGAAGCCTTCAAGATTCTAATACTTGCTTGATCTGTATTTCATTCGTTATTCTCGGGATGGATAACTTGTTTTTGAATAATCACGGCAAGCAATAGTTTTTTGTCTCAAACAACGATATTGTTTAGCTTCATTCGATTATCAAGTCAAACACAGTGTAGTATGGAGAGGAATAAATAATCACTATTTTCATTGTTGATATGCTCGCTAACCTAACATTTTCCACGTCTTGTTCCTATATAGCTGGCACTGGCGCGGTATTTGCCATTAGAGCACCTGGTCCACACACAAATATGTCACTCTGTGGTTGTATTTATATTGAAACTACAATTTGAACATCCTAGAAAACCTAACCTGCTGTTAATGCAGGTAGAATATTCTCACCACATGGATTATTCGTCAATATTTGTTGCATTGCATACATATGGCACAGCATTGGTGGTTACTTCACATGTTTATTTGAGTTAATTGTTTCGGTTGCAGAAAAAATAGCATGTTTCATTCGGATCAAAAGTGACTTTGTTCGACTCGCAAATTTTGCTCTCGCTCGGCTTCGCTAAACGCTCCGCCTCGCAAATGCAAAATTCGCTTGTCAAACAAAGTGTCACTTGTGATCCTAATAAAACAATCTACTATTATTCGATAATCCATACATTCTCAATTATGTATTAGTAATATTCCTTATTATAATAGTTGTGTTGTGGCTTATTGGTTGTAAAACATTTGTGTAAATAATGATCATATTAACTCATACTAAAGGATATTTTAACCGGTAAACGCTCAGGTAAACGTGACAACAACGGCGCACGAATTGTGGGCGTGGTCTTGTCAGTTCTCAGCATTCAGCACAATGTTGCCAACCAACATTTACATGATATTTTGTTATGGAGTGTAAGAAATATTTGGACATGCTGGTTACTGGATAATGTCAAGAACTCCTTTCTTTCCATTGGCGTAGGAGTTTTAGATGTTTATACACCTAAAAAATCAAGTACTACGCCCATGGAATGATAATTATCATGATCATATGAAGCTTTGCCAACGTACCAAATATGAGTGAAACCTCATGAGCTGTTTGAAAGTTATGAAGCAGAAACGATTTTAACTGCAGAGCCATCTAGGGCCCAAACAAAGCAACTTTTTAATGAGTTGAGTTTGCCAGATTCCCCAATGTTTTTTATCCATTCTCTCCTTCCGTGAATGTTTCTTAGAAAACCTATTAAATGACAATTGTTTGACTATTTTAGAAGTATTTTATCATCCGTTGATCACACATTTATATCCGGATTGGAATTTGAACTGACATTTTCTTGTCATGACAGCACTGAACGTTAACGTGACAGAATTTGAACATTTTGTGAAATGTCAGAATTGTCATTGTTGCCAATAAAGAAAAAACTAATAATGATATCCAAAATGTCAAAAGCAGCGCTCAGCGTGAAATGGTCTATTTGGATCCAGCAATAACCAATAAAATCAACCATAGTTATGATACGAGAAACAAAATCAACAATCTACGACTTTAAAAACACAAGCTTAGAATTTCAAACAAACATTCCAGTTTTATTAGATCAAAAATATATAATAAAATACCATCAAAATTAAAACGCCTACATATCATAACTTTCAGAAAAGAAGTTAAAAGTTCGCCTTTAAAAAATGCGAAAAAAATCGATAATCTTTTTTAATTAACTCTATTTTTGTTCATTTCACTTTATTCTCATTACTGTATGAATTGATTATTTGTTTCAAGTTTGAGTATTTATATTATGGAAGTGAAATAAATCATCTCTTTCACACACAGGTCACTAACCTATGTGAAGGAGATACAATATGAAATATATATTATACATTTAATTGATATTCGATGACAAAATGTAGATTTCACTCGATTCAATAAATGAATAAATAAATGAATAAATAAATGAATAAATAAATGTATATCATAATTCCATGTTTGTTCCATCCGGAAGTTTCTTAGTTGGTAGTGGTAGCATCTGATTGGTTAGAAGAGGGGGGCGTGAATCCTATTCGTATTTCAGCCCTGACGTCGTTCGGAGTGGAACCTAGGAACCCCCTAGCACCAGCCAGAGCAAAATGCAATACAATACTACATCTTTTCGGAGAATGGTTATTCGAGGCATCTTTCATAGGCTGCGACCTACCCCAAAGTAAGAAGAATTAATTAATGACATCGGAATAATTATTCAGTTTCACGTTTTCATTTATAGAGAATTTGAGTGATCAGAAGAGACCGAATTCGGTTATAATGGAAAGCAAGAATTCCCTTAATTTTTCGCAACCTGGCTCGATGAACGATACAAGTGAATTACCGCCTGGTTTGACTATAGACAAATATGAAAGCGGTAGGGCAGAAGCTTTAGGAACGCTCTGTAGAATAATGTGCGCCAAAAAAACCGGAGAAGAAATTTTACCTGTCTATCTAGCTAGGTAAGAAGAGTCAATATGTAACATTTGGTTCTCTACAAGAAGATTCAATTTAAGTTTATTTCAAATTTGCCTCTCTATATGACTTTATGACCGAAATAATGGTCAACATTTCAACTAATTATTTTCAGTGACCTACAGGCTGCTACAATTTCGTGGCTAAGCATGGGGATCTCAGTAACCTTAAGAGATACACTTCATGCTCAACAAAATGCTGCTTTGGAATTGAAAAAATTCCAATTATTTCCGGAGATGGCCGGAAAAAACGAAACTATGCAAAATCGTTTTTATTTATTACTCAGTTTATTTGAAGAAATATTTCGAAATGAATGTCACTTCATTGTTGCCACTTTTCCTTCTCTACAAAATGGAATTGTCTAATTGGAAATCCGACGTTTCTTCTTCGAGCGGCCATCGGAGATGTCCGGAAATAATTGAAATATTTCCGATTTCGAAGCAGCATTTTGTTGAGCATGAAATGGTGCAAGTTTGTCCTAATTTAACCTACTCTGTGTTTCTCAAGGTTACCGAGGTCCCCAAGCTTAGCCACAAATTTGTAACACCCTGTATATCAGTTCTAAACGGTGGCAGTTACAACTAATTGTAAAGATGCCCTATGATATCTCAAATGAATGAATTCAAAGTTCAATTTGAAGATCAAAAGGTCGATTCACTTCCGGTATATTCAAAAGTAGCATAGATTAATTCTGAGATATGAAAAAAATATCATTACCGTAGAAAAGGGGATACTTGGAACTGCGGGGTAAATTGGAACAAAACTTCATATTTTCAAAGTACCCCCTGAAATCTACAACTGATGTAATTTTGAAACATCGTATTGTGCATAGTTGTTCAGTATGGTTATATACTAGTCGAGTAGAAATAAGTGGCTTTCAAATATTGTTGTAAGAATGTTGTTCATCATATTGAAACTAAAAAAATAGCATTGAAAGCTTCAAGTCAAAAGACATGATCGATTCAATATATGGCGTTCATTCCATATAACTTATATCACTGCTCAACTTTGAACAGTGTTGTCAATATTTTTTTCCATTACGAAAGTTAGAGTTGGCGAAAACTTGGAACAGGCGCGAATTATCGTACTAATCTGAGTGTGATCATAATAGGTACCTGATAAAACTTTCTCTCCATCCACCACCCCACAACAACCCCCTAAACTCCCCACCAACACCACTAAAGAGTTCATTTTTGAGTTTTTTTGCTAAATGAGATTTTATTAGTCCTTTTTGCTGTTGGGAATTATATTCAAGAGATTTTTTGAGTTTTTAATGAAAAGCATTCATAACAATGCTAGATATAATGTATACTCTTTGAAATATTATATTTATTGGATCACTTAATCACAAAACTGTCCGGATTGATTTAGATGACATTAAAACAAATACTTATATTCCCAGTTTACTCACGAGTCGATAAATTGACTACAACGAGACTTTTGTTTTCCTGGTCCAAGTTTTCAAATCTGCGGGTAACTTGAAATATCGATATATTTTTGATTTAATTTCTCTCAGGATAGGGCAAGATTCCCTACCATGAATAATAACTTTGCAAGTGTATTTGTATCTGAAAAATGTTCCAAGTATCCTACGGTATTCTCTGAAGTATATTTGGATTTGAGGAGCAATCGCCAACTTCATTGTTTCTAGAAAAAAATCAATCACCCTTTATAAAATCCCTGCATCTTGAAATATTGAATGCTCAAAACCTATTCCAGATTTTATGTGGCAATACTGCAAGGCCTGAAAGTACCTTTGAATAGAGAATGTGGCGAATGCATGGCGGCTATTCTGATAAATTCTCCGGACTTATTCCATTTAGATCTTGATGGCGTTAGAATTCTCATGCCCGCATTCATTGGAGCTCTAGAAGTAGTCTTGCCCGAAAAAGATTTGAAATTGAATGGAATCGTTAATAAAGTGGAACTCCGGAAAGCCTCAATACAGCTTCTGCTTTCGATGTTGGTGTTGCCATTGCATTTCCAGAATGTCGTTATCAAAGAACTTATAAGTACAGGTGAGGAATCGAATTTTCATTGGGAAAAACATGTTTGATATCCAATACGATCCAACAGAGAGAGCTCTATAGTCATGGGCAATAACTTGAAATTACGGTTTTTTTTCAGGTGTGAATGAAAAACCAGTATCATTTCTCCAGCTCAAGCCGAAATTGATGAATCTCTTGATGAACGCTCTACAGATAGAGACAGATCCGCAAAACACCCACATGCTTCTGGGAGGTTTATTTTTGTGTGTACAAGATTCGGCTATTTTTGAGAAAGTTGAACAGGTTACTCAGCCTTCAAATGAGACTTCCTCAAATCTGCTCAGTTCTGGTAAGAAAGAAGGAACGTATTTAATTAGAAAGTGCACAATGAAAATTACGATTTGATATGCTTCATGATTATTTTCAGGCTGTCATTTTTGGTCTTTTGTCACCATGTCAGAATTTCTTGTTTCTCAAAAAATACAAAGATTCATTCACATTTACAGTAGAAGATGACCATTATTTCATTTAATAATATTTCTAAGTGAAATAGCATTGAATTATAACTAACATGTTTTATTAGTGTTTTTGAAGACCCTACTTACGTATTTTACTTGGTAGGTTGCCACATCAGTAGATCTGATTTCTTCACTATTATTTTACAGATTCAGAAATAATATTGGGCGAAGCTCATTTGCCTTTACTAATGAGAATTGTTTTTAATTTTTAAAATCAATAATTAATTTTATAATGCATCAAAGGGTCAAAGAAAGGCCCAATTTTTCTAAATGAATAAAAGGATTCACAATTTGATTTTGGTTGACTGCTCTGAGTCTGAGTTATCACCAGTAGCATGCATTTATCGATCATATACAGGGTGAATCTGAAAGTGAGTCATTTTTTTAACAGGATATATATTGTTGTTGTTTGGCAAAATATTGCTTATATAAAATATTTCAGATTACGGAGGTATTTTAAGGTTCAAAGAAGACTCCAACTATGGAACATTTTGTTTACATTTTCACAAAAAAACACAAAAAAGCTGTTATAAGTCCAACATTAGATACCCTACAGTTGGGTATACATTACATACAATATCATATTTTCTTTAATAAATGTGATAATTGTAAAATCAGATTTTTAATGTACAAAACCTTGAAATATCTGCACCTCTGTTATCTTACATTTTTTACATAAACAATTTTTGGCCAAACAACTTATTTTGGCGAGATATACAGGCTGATTCACGGTGAATGGTACAATGGGCAATCTGTTCATATTTGACATCTCGTATTTGGATTGACTATTGATTAAATGGCCGTCATCTGGTATGCTTGTTCACTAAATATGAAAAACAGGCCATAAAAATCTAAGTTGTTGCTACTTTTCAATATAAGTGGAAACATCGCAATGCTGAGAATGTTTTAAGTCGATAGAACACAAATAATTATTCAAGGCTCCAACTTTTCAGAATAATCCTGAGTTGCGTTCTCTTGGAACGTCTAATGTGCCATCCACCGTGAATCAGCCTGTATACCCTGTTGAATGAAAAACCTCACTTTCAGATTCACCCCACCCCGTATATTCTATAAAAATGAATCACACTAAGATCATTTCCACTGTGACCTTATTTCGTTGTCGCGATTTTTATTCTTTGCCAGTCGTCTGTATCGGCTTGTTCTATTTGCTTGCGTAGCTTCTGACACCGCAAGTATGGCCAGCATGGCTAGCAGTGATCGTTCCACCACACCCGACCATCCGTATGGCACCATTGATTATGACCCACTGTTGTTGCCCTTAGGTATGTTTTTATTCATTGTTTATCTCGTCGAGTTGGCATAGGGAAGGAGGCGCTGTCACTTAATCGAAAATAACACCAGTCTGTCTGTAGGTTAATCGAGAAGGTGGTAAATTCATGTTACTTGCTTTTTTGGGATTTTCTCGTTGCTATAAAATAAAAATATTCGTATTATTTCAATATATGCACTTTGTACTTCATTAGTACAATAAAGATCAATTATTATTATTATTGTTATTTTGAAACACAATATTTATGATAGTAGAGCTGATTTTATTCACATTTGACATATCTTTAGCTAACCACACATTAAGAAATGTCTAACTTCTGAAAATATGATCAATCGACATGACACATTCTTCGAACGGAATATGTTTGTTTATGACACCTTGTGTGTTCATGGAAAAAATCCTTATAGTTTCTCCTTTCCTATAAAAACTTGATGAGTTATTTCCTCTCATTCATTGCTTGAAATCCAAATACACGACGAAACAAAAAAATCATCAATGTTCACTTACAATCACCCTTATGAATCGATTGGAGTGTTCGGAGTTTGAAATAATTATTCTGCCTCGATTTCATTCGTTTTATTTTTTTAAATCATGCATTGAAATTTGTGTCCAAGTGACTGTTTCTGCGGCATTTCTACAACTGTCGAGGAAAACGATACATTTAAATCAATTTCAACACAAAACACCTAATTAAAATGCCATTAAATGTTGTCAATGAAAAAATTGATGAATAGTTTCCATAGAAAAACAATTATTAGATGGACACATAGTTCTTCAATAACCATCTGACAATAATTTCTTTATGCACGACTGGGCGTAAAGTAGCACTTTATGTCAATTGACAGCAAATAATAGTCTTCCCCTATTTCGAAAAATTGACTGAGTTATAATGTAACGTTGATTCCATCAATGATGTTCCTCACTGCATCCATGCGATGTATTTCTATCGTAGTACTTGAAAGGTACTTGACAGAATGAAAATTCAAATGTTGTATGTATTTCGGGCGTAACTTGCTTCCATGGACCTAGGCGTGTTAACACAGGCTACGGTCCATAAAATACGATTTTACGCCCTTGATGCATAAATAACTTTTGATCATGTCCATGAAACATATGAAGAACACTGTTCTCAATCTTCTGTGAAGGTACTTGTCATGCTTCCGAAAAAGTTTAGTGTCTCATGCTTTAGGTAATTAAATCATGCAAAAAAGGCTTTTCCTCGATTGTTGTAGACATTTATATTATATTTAATTTGAAAAACACACCCAAATTATTCCAAACTATCACCAGTTATTACATCATAATATATTCTTGTAAACCATTCAAATACCTCGATACTGAACCATGGACCCATTTAGATTCCGCTCATGCTTTGTTCGTCAGAGCAACGTACCTGGTTTGCCACCGATTGATTTCTTCTTGGAAGACAGACCTCAACGTGTCTCTAGCAGCCCTAGAACTCCTATCAGGTCTTGCAAGAATCCACATCAGAGGCTCAGGTAAACATCATTCTAACTGTTCATTTCTATCTTTGTTGAAGCAAAATGTGTCAAACTTTTCTGTTTTTCTGTTCTGTTTTTAGACGCTATGGAGTGTAAAAGAGCTGTCAAATGGCTCTGTGATTACATAGTTTCTCAGTGTTCCAGACCACCACCAGCGCATTCCAAAGATTTACATTCCACTATTGTAGCTGCTTTCCAGTGCTGTTCCGTTTGGTTGCTGGAACATCCGTATTTGTTGAGAGATAAAGATTGCCTAACAACAGTAAGTTCCGAAGGAATATTTCCCATTTTTTTCACCGTCGAAACCAATACATCCCTTCATGAGATTGAACTGGATCCAGTTGAGCATGCGCATTCGGGACCTGTCATATATCTTACTCACCTTACTCTTGTTTCTTAACAACCAGTGACATAAGTCGATTTCATATGAAGAACAGTTTTGAGGCGAGCTACATGGATGAGATTTTCGTGTTGTTGATTCTAGATAGTAGGTTATGTCCATATATTTATTACTAGCTGTCCGGCCCTGCTTCGCATGATTGATGTACTCATTAAAAAAAAAGCCATTTGTTGCAGTTGTTCTGAGCTATGCGCGTAACTACATTACATATTATTTTGTAATATTTTTTAATATTTTGATATACCTATTTTGATTCTCTCAGTATCTCTTGTATTTTTTTGTTGTTGTTTTACGTACTAAAAATTTCAACCCAATCGGTGAAGCATTTTATTAGTTGACGTACCGACATTAATTTGAGTTTGCACTTGATTATTATTGTTTAGTGGTTTCCTTTGAGCAGTATAATTTGTTTGCATTCTTTGTGTTTCCATTCACATTCATTTTATACTGAACCATGTTTGGTGAAAGGAAGTGTGTTCTTTGTGGAAGAAAGGATAGCCAGAAATTATTATCTGATTAGTGAGTTTGAACACACTTTTTTCATTCTTGTAGAAACTGAATTATCTCACTACAATCCTAGACTTAACATCTCAGCTATGTACCTAAACTATAAAGGAATGAATCAGATAATTAGGGTAATTATCAACAATTATCGATAATAATGATAATTATGTAGGAATTTGAAACATAACCTCACCTCTCATTTCGCTGCCATTTTCGTTATGTTATCATAATTTTTAGGTATTAGAAGTAGCCGAACTCGGAATTTCAGGGACGAAGTCGGTTGGTAAACCTGGCGAACCTATCAAAATGAAAGAAGAGAAAGAACTGAAACCAGCATCGATGCGAGTACGAGATGCTGCCGAAAACCTTCTCACCTGCATTCTGGAACAGGTGTCCTATTTTCCCAGCGAATGTGGACCCGAATCCATATCTTCCCTACTCGATGAGCTGTCGCTCCTGAAACATTGCAATTCTTGGCCTACCATGTGCAATGACCAGTCTGCAGCTGTCGAAAGATTCAGGTATATATGTCAAAGACAAAAAAAAAACGCAAATCTGATGAAGTCTAACCATAACTTGAGCTCTTTTATATTTGTTTACATATGCCACATCATTGAAAAAAATTGGACTTTTGACTTTAAGATAGACCAAACAATGGATGGAAACAAAAACAGAACAGTGTTGTCTCTGAATACAGGTTCATTCTTTACAAAAATGAAAAAAAAAAACTGCACTTTTCTTATTTTTCCTGACAAACTTTCAATTCTCTTGTACATAATCAAGAGTAACCAAACAAAAAAACTAAATAAATGGATCAGGATCTAATCATCTTCACTTTCCAAGGCACTGCTCATCTTCTTCTACAGGCTTCTTGTCCACAACGTTCTCAATAGAGCAGAATATAGATGCATCTTGTATTTGAAATGAAGAAGTAAGGTTAGGTATGATAGAATCGAAATCGGTAGCAATTATTAACGAAACTCACCTCTAAGTCGTTGTTCCCGTGCCTTCTTTACTAACAATGCACAACGTGATGACATGATTAAAATTCCAGTTTGAGATGTACAACCCAATAAAAATACTTGATGAAATCAACAGCTCTCAGTCTGACATAAAAAAATGTTCATACAAAAATCAAAGACAGAGAAAGATATATGGATGTACTCTTCCCAGGACTTGTGAAGGATGGAAGATGCGAGGATCCTTTATCTAAGCGAAAAACATATTCTTATCCTTTTCTGGCAAAACATATGATTTGCTTCAAAATCGTTTGTGGTTATGTTTGATTGATTGATTAATAGCAGAATGATCAGTCAGGGTTCGAAGCCCAAAACACTGCAGCCTTTGGGCCTATTGTATTCCTGATCATGCTGTTGACTCAGGTGAACATGTTCGCTACCTTGATAAGGTTTAGCAGCCTCTTCACCAAATCATTCGTTGGAAAAGCCTCTTGAGAGTTCAATGCTCCCAGAAGGTTGTATCTCCAACCCGCTAGTGCCTCGCACTCCAATATTACATGGGTTTCCTCCTCCTCATTGCATAGTCTGCATATGGGTTGGTCTTTATAGATGCCAATTTGACGCATATGCTTCCTCAAGGGGCAGTGACCGGTTATTAGTCCCGTCACTTGTCTGATCTGACTTCTGTTTAGGCTCAGAATGTCGTTAGTCACTGTTCTGGACAGTGTTCCAACCATTAGTTTACTGTGTCTTTGTCCTGGGACATTGTTCCAGTATGCCTGATGTCTTTCTTAAATCCACCTTGCCAGCCAGCCGCGTATGATACCGAACACAGGTTCCGGTCCCATAAACAACGCCGCAGAACCTTGCCTAGCAAGAGCGTCAGCTGCTTCATTGCCTTCATTTCCCTTATGCCCTGGCACCCATTGAAGAGTAACCTTATTGTGGTTAGCCAGGGTTAGCAGGCTTTGAAGGCAATCCCAGACCAGTTTTGATCTGATTTTATTGCATGTTAAAGATTGAATGGCCGCCTGACTATCTGAGCATATGAGATTATGTTTGATTGTCACTGCTTGTCTAGTGGCCGCACTCTAATATACAAAGAACGTCAAAACTGCAGTGTCAAGTACATTGAGGAACTCGTACTCTTCCCCAGGTATTTCGTGACGGAGGGCTCCGTCATGCTGGCGCTGCTCGAGGAGCCGCTGGGCAACGACCAGGACCCCCAGCCGACGGTCACTCTGCTGATAAGGGGGCCCTTCGGCCGGCACGCGTGGACCATGCAGCTGCGCCATCTGCCGCGCCACAAGTCCGGCACCAAGTACCACGCGCACAACGCGTGCCGGCCCGTGGTCATGCATGACGCGCCCGTTCGGCCGCAGGTCAGGCAGCGGTACTTCCCCGACGGCGTCGACAGGGTGATGCAGTGTAGAGTGTAAGGGCCACTTCAATAATAACAATAATTTTCATCTACTCACTGCATAGAAAGTTAGCGTTGGCTCCCTCATTTGAGAACACAAAACTGTCAATTTACTACCACGGGAGGAAATTATAGTTTGTTTTATTCGGATCAAAAGTGACACTTTGTTTGACTAGCGAATTTTGCATTTGCTTTCATATAAAAGTACTGTATCATCTGCATACATGGTATATTTACTCGCTAGACCAATTTCACTGATATTTTGAACATAAAGTAAATATAGCATAGGTCCTAAAACAGAGCCTTGTGGAACACCCTTATTAATTGATAGTTTATTTGACACATAGTTGGTTGATTTCGTAATGATTGACCTATTTTCAAGATATGAATTCAAAACATTTCTCACAGTGCCTCTGAGTCTCATTGTTTCCAAGTTTTCTAAAAGTGTTGTATGATCAACTGTGTCAAAAGCCTTTTCATGAGTATATATTTTTTCATATTAACTTTGAATCTTATTTCATCATCAATGTTTCAAATCACAAGCTAATGAATTATATAAAATGATTCCATCGTAGAATACTGATTGTTTGCCAATAATGAAGTGAATAGATTAAATATAGTGAGGACAATGACCTCCAAATGGCTGCCGCTTCCGGGTATCTCCCATGAAGTAATGAATTTGCGCCTTCGAAGTGCCCACCTGATGTTATATTTAGATATTTGATATTTTCATTTCATCGAAATAATCTGCGACCGACGAGTACTGACGTATAGAGTTTCATGTCTGATTGTTGGATGTTTTGTGTCCAAAGAGCAAGAAAACAGAGACAAAGCATTGACATAGTGAAATAGAATGCATAGAACTGAATGGAGCAGCAAACAAGGGCTGTGGTGACGCCTATGAATTCTAGTTTTCATATTTTTTTGATCCTATAGAATACCTACATCATAAGTGTTTCTTACATAAACGTATCGGTCGATTTTTTTTATTGAATATATTACTTTCTTTCATTTTTAGATTCTCCATGAAGAACTGATTCCATTAATACACACTTGGGGTCTAGCCGTAATGATTAGATTTTTCAACTTTAGGATTTTTTTTGTTGAAACTATAAAATGCCTTACCTGTCCCTAACTTTTGATTCACTTAGCTACTGACATTTGATTGGAACAGATACAGGGTGATGATCAGAATTCTGATCATCACTCCTACTTTCTCATTTTACCTTTCTCAGGCTTGTCATTGTTTCACATCAAGCCCTCCAATTGTTCCTTTCATTATTTTTCTTCAAAATAGTAGGAGAGCCAGCAGCAGACTTCTACCGTCATCTGATGACGAAATGATACATGTCCCAAAGGAAAGTAAAACCATTGTAGTTCATCGAACGGCACCTGGGCCAATCACTTTCTTAAGCACAATGATTTAAAAAATGCACTATCCTGTGCGGAAATTTGCACTCGATTTCGCGATTTGATAACGAGATATGAATTATGCCATCCGATACCAATTGTATGGTAGATCTCAAAAACCTTCCTGTGCCCCCCTCAGTCTAACCAAATTCCAATACACAGCGACTTTTTTGCTCCTATTATTCCGGGCATAACTGATCTAAGTTAGTGGCAGAGCGTCAATATTTCCGTGAATATTTCGCCCTCGTCGAAAGATAATATCCGATGGACCAGTGTGAAACTCATGTGGTGCTCACACTACAAGTATTCTAATCCACATGTTGAGTTTTACACTGCTCCATCGGATATTATCTTTAGAGGGGGGCGAAGTATTCTCGGAAGTATTGACGCTCTGTCACTAACTAAGATCAGTTTGAATCGCGGCACGTTTGTATATTCGCAAAAGGGACATTTTTCCCTTTCATTTATGAAATCTACCATTCAATGGGTAGGTATCTGATGGCATAATTCGTATCTCGTTATCCCTTACGCGCTCCGTACCCTCACAATTGTACGGGTATGATCTAAGTGATTTATAAGGATCAAAATGTCATTTTGCTGTATTGAGAACCAGCCACTATGCTTGTGAGTGTTCTCTTTGCACGGAATAAACCGCATTTGCTGCTTATTTTATCTTCAGGCGGCGTAAAAAAAATAAATTATTGTGTGGTGCGATTGGTCTCGACTGAAAAATGTTTCCTGAAGGTGAGTGAATCAAAACCATCAACTATATATGATATTGTGAGTGATTTTATGCATTGAATGGCAAATGAAAACATGATTCAACATGGTGGTTCACAGTATCTCTTTCCAAAAATTTTTTCGGGATCAGATTTCAGGACATATTTATGTACCATCACATTTGTGTGCTCCGGGAGCGTACCGCTACGCATCAATGGTCATTATCGATTTTGATTCAAACATTTCAGTGTGTCAAAACTGTCCTCTTTTTCAAGAATTTCGAATTGCAAAAAGATCGAGATGAAATTTACGATTTGTTGGATCAGATAGGATCAGATCTGGAAATCGATTCCGATAAAGATGACCAGTGGGAGTTGAATGCACATGAACAGGTAGAAGTGCTGGAGGAAAATTATTAACCGTTCTCCTTGCGAATAGAGTAGCTTCTTTTTCAACAAATGACAAGCGATATGATGAAATTGACCACTGGCCTGTCATTGATTCTCCGAAATCACCACGGACTTGCTGACTGGAAAGTTGCGGTAGCCGTTCAAGGACGAGATGTTAAAAATGCAATGTACTTCTATGCCTGTGAAAGTAATTGTTTCGTCACTTTTTATAACAAACCATAAACAATAAATGCATATTTCTCCATGATTAGCGTTTTCTTCATTCTGAGTTAAAATTCCATTTCACTCCCAAATAACACGATTGTGAGGGTACTGAAAATAATATTACATCATCCTGAAAAAATTCGACAAAAATTCAAGAAGTTTCTGAGGTTACTCTGAGTCACACCTGCTAGAAAAAGTGCAATTTTTCAATGGCACAGGTGCAGTTCGATAAACTACAATGCTTTTACACGTGAAATATTTGATATTTTCCATTTCAGTGATCAATCTATACCATCTTTAGAATCAGTATTATCAGGTGAGGATGAAATAAACAGGGAAATCGAAATGGTGACACAGTTGATGGGCAAACAGAGTCATTCGGGAGATAATCATGGAGCACAGTCGTCCCCATCGTTGCCAGAATGTACCCCACCACCCGTTTGCCACGATTTCCAGACTGCCAGACTGTTTTTGTCACACTTCGGGCTTCTGTCTCTAGATGAATCTGAAGTGAGTTCCATGACAACATTCCAGTGTGGTTAGGTAAAGCTAGAGTCCCTGTATGTATTTGACACTTTTGCTGTAATAAGAGTACGGACACTATGACAAGCAGTGACAGAAGGCATAACCCTAAAAAATTTGAAATGACATGAACAATTTGGCGGGCACTGACAGTTCATGAACGTACATGACATAAAATTATTTGAAAATTCAGGTTTTCAAAAATTGAAATGTCTAATTGTGTAGTGGAGAATTGCAAAAATGGAAGCTAGTCCTTTCATTTATTCCATTTCCCCCATTCTAACCAACAAGTACATATACCCTTTGTTAAGTATATCGAGAAATACTTTCAACAAATTGATTTACAAACTATGACCCCTTTTCGCCAGTGAGATGAGACGCCACTTCTTTATGAAAATAAAGACAGAGAAAGATATATGGATGTACCCTTCACCGCGGCAGTAGAGGATAGAATATCCGAAGTGCATGGAAAAGCATATTCATGTCTTTGTTCAAAAGTCATTTTGAGAATTTGGGGTTATGCCTTCCGTCACTGCTTGTCATAGTGTCCGTACTCTTATTACAACAAAACTGACAAATATATACAGGGAATTATACATACAGGGACTCTGGGTAAAGCCATAGGATTATGCATCAAATAGTTATTTGTTTTACTAGGCATAAGAGTACAAGATTTGATGCCGCGGCTGGCTGGCTGGCTGGCAGCCAAGAGAAATCCACCATATTTATACAATAAAATCAGATTCAGAACGGATGTTCACTACCTCAATATTAGACACAAATCGCGCATCACTCCTCCACAGCATAAGTCAACTTTCTATGAAGGATCTTTCAGTTTTCATTTCACTAGGCTATACAACTGGTTTCCAGAGGAGTTGAAAAGTGTATCTGTTTTTGTCCTTAAACAGAGGCTGAAAAATTGGAGAATTTCTTTTCCTTGATATATTTCTCTGTCAATATCTGTTCACAACACTGATCTATTACAATATTTCTAATATAGGACTATAGTTCATAAATATCTATATGTATATCTTCTCTTTTTTTTTCTGCTTTTTCATCTTTCTTTCTTCTGTTCAAAACATAATGATGTTTCAGATTATTATGCATGTATGCAATTATTATTAGATTCTAGTAGTTAGTTATTTATAAATATATATTATAACTCATTCATATTGACTTAAATGCATATGAATGAGTTTTTACTGGTTGAGTGGAAGAGCAAATTCCTGTCTTCACAGGTAATTTGAACTCTGCCATTTGGCAGGCATTTATTAAGTGTTCAACTTGTATATATCAGCTGATTCAATGTCTGTCCAATAAAAACATTTATTTTTATTATTATTATTATTATTATTGAAACAAATGAGCTCTTGATGTGTTTAATAAAATAACTAAAAATAAAAAAAATTGAAAAAATTGTGATTTCAAAAGAAAAACACCAAATTTCTCAAAGTGGTTCGACCACACACACTAAATATTAAAAAATACATGTAAACGGTTTCGGCTCAACGGCCATCATCAGACAAAAAAGTACCTGTAAAAAGATGAAATATGGCAATACAAATAGAGGAAGAAGCATGAAGCTATTGAGTAGCATTATGGAAAAATAAACATGAGGGCAACCAACTCAAGTCGTCAACGGGCTATCAGAGTCAGGCACATGTGGTTCTTTTTAAATTTAGTAAATAGCCAGAAAAAACTGGCTCTGATGAGATTAAACATCTTATATTGCAAGGTTTTTTATTATGAACTACATAGGAGCCATATCAGTGATCAGTGAGCGATGGAACACGGAAATGAGAAAAATGTAGACAAATTGAAAGATGAACAAGACTTTGTCTTCAATGTGTCTACAAGTTTTTCATTTCCGTGTTCCATCTCTCACTGATCACTGATATGGCTCCCTTAGTTATATTATGTAGTTCATAATAAAACACCTTGCAAGATAATATGTTTAATCTTATCAGAGCCAGTTTTTTCTGGCTCTTTACTAAATTTAAAAAGAACCACATGTGCCTGACTCTGATAGCCTGCTAACGACTTGAGTTGCCCTCATGTTTATTTTTCCATAATGCTACTTAATAGCTTCATGTTTTGATATGTTTTTGAAAAGTTTGTCATTTTCCTCTATTTGTATTGTCATATTTCATCTTTTAACAGGTACTTTTTTGTCTGATGATGGTCGATGCGCCGAAACCGCTTACATGTATTTTTTAATATTTTTTATAAAGTGTATTTCTTCTGAAATTACTTTGGACCACTTTGAGATATGGATGATTTTCATGATTTGAAAATTGTGACGTTATTCTATCAGGAGAGCCTTGAGAATTCGTCGCACCTCTCTGCGCTAGACAGCAGCGCCGCAGACTTCTGCGATGATCTTTCTCTGCTGGACAAAATGAGTCCGAGAACCTGCGACACAGTACACATTTTCTATGTGCGACCGCAGCAGTCGCAGGCGCAGGACATCGTAGGTAACGTTTCCAACGAAAACGCGATCTCCGCCTACTTTTCCGAGTTTATTCACAGCCTGGGATGGCCCGTGGAAATCAGCAAACATCCAGGTATGTTCGAGAAAAAAATTGGGAGAGCCCAAGGTTGGTAGAACTGATGACTATTTTGTAAATTATAATCAGTTCTACCAACCTTGGGAGAGCCTTTCTCCTACCTCCCTCCCTCTTAGACTGCAGATGATTTTAGATCTGGACTATCTGGACCATCTTGAATTTAACGAGTTCCAGCAATAACGGCAGCATTTCATCAATATTTTTCATCGTTATATTGATTCTTGCAAAAATTAACTTTTCATTTCTTATCAAATAAATATATATCATTCCTAATTTAAACTAGGGTCCCTTGATGGAAATTGACGTTAAAGTCATCTTAACAGGGTACGGACAGAGGCTCTGTTACGAAAGAGCGCTGCAGGGACGCGCCTATACAGTGGCAACTGCGTGCACCGCACACGGGCGGCCACCCTCAGGGGCGGCCAATCACGAGATACTAAATAATACTTCGTTATTTTGAACATTATATTACTCTGTAGACTATGGGAATCCTTGTAATAAAATTTCAATCCCATTCAGTAAATTAACAACACTTAATAGAAGGAAAAATAAGAACAAACAACCTTTCTTACGCTGGTGGCCCACAGGAGTCAGGACGATAGCGGCACGATTTTTTCGCGATATACTACCATCGCTTCGCATTAGCATAAACTACAGAAGATAAACTATTTCAGTAATCTTTGGCATTAGCTGAGTAATGAAAGAATTGAATTTTTTAGCCATTGGACTACATTCAATTGTATGAAAATTTTGTCTGTGCGATATCGCGTACGAAAACCTTTTCGGCATCAGACTAAGAACATTTTCAATGCACTTGTGGAAGTATCTCAAGATGATAGTTCCGATTTGTCGGCTAAACACAAAGTATTCTCAATGGCTAGCAAAATCAATGAATTTCGATTCATCTGTTCCATACTGATATGGCATCATGAAATTTTGTTAAAAATCAACATCTGTAGGAAATTCTTTTCATGTTCTACACTCAATATTGAAGCATGTCTTGATCAATTGAATAATTTGAGATTTTTATTGCTGCATTCAGATCCGATGGAAACTATTCAAAAATTTTGAAAAAATTCTCGGACAATAGCTGATAATTCAGATTCTGAAACATACTTTCCAGAAACGTCTAGAAGGAGAGAGAGACCAAAATTGTTTGATTATGCGCGAGGGAAATGATGATTATCAGACTGACTACCAACAGCACGCAAATTCAAGATATTTTTTTTATGCCATCACCGACCAAATAACATGTTCTCTCGATGAGAGATTCGAGTCTCTCAAAGATTATAATTAATGTTCTGGATTTCTCTAGTTAGCTTTTGGTAAGGACTTTGATGAAACAAGTTAACTCGAAAGTTATGAAAATTTACAAGAAAAGTTAACAGATGAAAATCACAAGGAAGCAGATATAGACGGGACAACAGATTTCACAGTATAAACATTTTATTAACTTTACCGGTGTCAGTTGCTAATGGAGAAAGGTCATTTTCTAAGTTGGAGATAATAAAAAACTATTTGAGGTCTAAAATGAGCCAGGACCTTGCTTCAATATCCTTCGAATCTGAATTATTAGAAACAATCGATGTTGACATGCTCATCGAAGAATTTCCTCAGCAGAAAGCGAGAAAAATGATGATTTTCACTGTGATATTATCGCCCCTCCATGTGTTTTTCTCAAAGTATTACCTGAACCTCATATGTTAATGAAATATTGTTAATTTCATATGAATTCTTCAATTCGTATATTATTTGTTATGTTACTTATGTTTATTTATATTATGTTATGTTCCGTGAATGCAATCATCTCTTGAGACATCTTGAAACGAGTTTGATATATTATTTGTTTCTTTTCAGTTTCCAAAATATGTCAGTTTTCAAAATTCGTTTCATTTGAATTTTTTTCGAGGGCGGCCCAGAACATATTGCACACGGGCGGCGAAGTGTCTAGGCGCGCCCCTGGAGCGCTGTACAAAATAGCGAGTTACAAAACGGCGGTAACGAAACAGCGCTGAACAGAATAGCGCTGTGACAAAAGAGCGTGTAACAATACAGCGCTGTAATAAAGCAGCGCGTGTAACAAATCAGCGCTTCTAACATAACAGCGCTATAATAAATGAGCGCTATACAAAATAGTGCTGTACAAAACAGCGCTTAACTAAAGAGCGCTGTGACAAAATAACGCGTAACAAAATATCGATGTGATAACATAGCGCTATAACAGAAGAGCGCTGTACAAATTAGCGGTTACATAAGGACAACACAACATACAATATAATGAATAATACAAAAATATTCATTTGAAAAGGAAACACAGTTAGGTTCTCTAAGTTTGATGATGATACGTGTTCGCCACACGGGATGTGGAAAATTCTGGAATTGATGAAATAGTCAATGACGTATCTGTAGAAGCAAATTTCCATCGTTCAAGTTCGATCCCCCACTATAGAGAATATCAACAATTCATGACAGTGGCGCTTTAAGTGACTACCTAATTTCAAATCAGTCGAAATGGCAGAATATGTGAAATCCCAAAAGGGCAGAGAAATGTTGATATTTGAAGGATATAGATATAGGAAAGATAAAACAAATATCGCTTCAAAGACATGGAGATGCGCAAAGGGCACCTGTAGAGGCAGAGCCTCAACGAAAAACAGTTCTCATAAGGTGACCAGAGAACATAATCATGGGCCATGTGTTAAACAAACAGAAGCATTAACAATCAAACAGAATATAAGAGACATGGCAAAAACCACTGACGAACGTCCGAGAAGTATTATTCAACAGTGCTCGCAAGACGTCACTCCTGAAGCAGCTGTACTCATACAGAGCTATGACGCTGCGAGGATGATGATCCACAGAGAAAGAAAGAAAACTTTGCAAAATGATGGAATATCAGCTACAAACATTCAACAAATAGAAATACCAGGAGAATTCAAAAAAACATTCAGAGGAGATACATTCCTACTGTACGACTCAGGAAATGAAGATCAAAACCGAATGATAATATTCGGTACGTATAACAATCTGGCTTTATTACATGAATTTGGCGACTGGTGTGTAGACGGCACGTTCAAAGTTGCCCCAAAATTGTTTTACCAAGTATACACCATTCATTGCTTAGTAGACAGTAAGGCAGTTCCTATGATATATGCATTGCTGTGTAACAAAACTAAAAATACTTATATAAGATTGTTTGAAAATTACCTATGTTTTATTGCAAATAATCTGTCATTGTGATGATATTTTTAAGAGAATTGAAAATGTTAGCTTGTTTTTCAGTACTTGAATGTTCACTGTTTGACCATATATCGTATTTTTTATTAAATAAATATAGTTGTTTGGTTGAAATTGAGGGCGAGAGTGTAGTACGCATTTTCTTAACAATGCGCTATTTTGTTACCGCACTTTTTATATGTAGTTCTTTTTCATCACAGCGCCTTTATGTTACAATCGCTGTTTTATTGTAGCGCTGTATTGTTGCACGCTCTTTTGTCACAGTGTTATTCTGTTCAGCGCTGTTTCGTTACCTCTCTTCTGTTACTCGCTATTTTGTAAAGCGCCCTTTCGTAATAGCGCTCTGTTGTCACAGCACCGTTTTGTTACAAGCGCCGTTTTGTTACAGCGCTCATTTGTTACACGCTCTTTTGTTACACGTTATTTCATTACAGCGCTCTTTCGTTACGCGCTGATTTGTTCACCGCTATTTTGTTCAGCGCTCATTCGTTACAGAGCCGCGGACAGATCATAGCTGCATTCTTTTTCAATGATCTAGAGATTTTAGTTTTGTCTACTGGCATCCCTGACATTGCTGTCACGTCACTTCCATGGGCGCTACAGATAATCATTCGAAATTTTAATAATAGGTATGTACAGGGTATTTACTTGTTGAGGAAAATCATATGGCGAACGAGATTTGGAATTATGATCCGATCCATTCAAAATTGGAAGGAATGTGGGGTTTTCTGGGGTTGGAGATGATGATTGTTTCGTCAAACTTGGAGAATTCAAGATGACGGATCCAATATATAGCAAAAGAAATTTCTAATTATGATCTGATTCTATTTGAGATTGGTATCTGAGGGTTTTCGGGGTCGAACTTTATGATTTTTTGTCAAAATTGGGATATTCAAGATGGCGGATCCAATATGGACGAGTTTTGTAATGAAGAACCGATTCTATTCAAAATTGGTATCTGGGGGTTTTCGGGGTAGGAGATAATGATTGTTTCGCCAAAAATTGAAACATTCAAGATGACTGAGATGTAAGATTACGAATCCAATATGAAAATATGTAGGATGCAAGAGTGAAAATAACGTGCCTTTAAATTAAACTGCGTATACTTAGCGTATATACCTACTTCTTTGTTACTTTCATCAATAAATTATTTGAAAATGACTCCTTATTCGAAAGAGACGGAAAAATCATATGTATAACATGGGGGTGAAGTATATTCTATTCTTTATTTTCCTGCACATTTTACGTATAAATTTTTATCAGCCTACTCTTCGTCCTAGACCAAGTTTCATACATAGTGTGATATTAGTAACTCCATAATTTTTTCTCCGTGTTGGATTTCTGAAAATATATTTAGCACACATGACATGAGCACCTACAGTAGTTCAGATACCCACATCGAGGTTTCCACAATTTCTAAATCATAAGGCTCAGCCCATTCAGCTCATAGATAAACTACTTGAAATCAGAATTTATTCAGTCAATTCAGTCGACCCTGGTATACAGTCTAAGAACAGTCTCTTTTGGTAAAATATATTGAGCTTCCAGTACAATTTATATGTTCACTAAATCGCAAAGATTATGCTGGAGTAGTAAACTCTAGAACTAGAGGATTGTTCACGTATATCTTGGTATAGTTGAATCAGGAATTCCATATGGAAATTACGTATGATACGCCAGTGACCTCAATATAACCTAAAAAACAACGAATGTCGAAAATCTAGTGTTTATCCCCAGAATTGAATAAGGATGGAACTATACATCTGTTTCACAAACACTTTAGAGTGAGAGGAGACGAGGATCTGTCCGTATCCTGTTAAGATGACTTTAATGTCAATTTCCATCAAGGGACCCTAATTTAAACTAATCTATGGGTATAAGAGATTAATGCCATAATTAATATAGATATATAAAAATTGTTGTCTCTTGCCTACCAAGAATACAGTGTGAGCTTTACTTTTGAAGTAATAATTGTTAATTGAGAATAAATCCAGGTTAACATTTTTAGTCATAATAGTATTGTATGTAACTGAAAAATTCCGTACTGTAAAGCGAATCAATGTATCAATTGGATAAGTAGTTTGTATACAAATCTGTATCAATGTCATCTGGGTCTTTTATTGTAGGATGGACTGGACATATCTCAACAAGTTGGAAAATAGCAGGCAATTCACAGCAGGATCAAACGTCAAAGCAAAAATTGTATGACGGGTCTACCCACGTTCTTTATTGGGCAGATGCTTGTTCTGAAATCGCTTTCGTCATTCCTTCGCAATACAAACAAACCCAGGCATCTTCAGAACATTCCAGTTTCAATACAAGCAGTTTGTCATGTAAGAACAGATATTTTCTATTTTAAACTTCAAACTGCGATGTCGATTATCATGTTTCGAAGAACAATTTTTTCTATTGTATTCAACACATTATAAGAAGTGCACAAATCTTGCGTCGCTCTGTGATATTGCGGAAATCGCTCGTCCCGCAAAATCCTCGTGAACTATTTTATTACTGTTAACTTTTTTTTTTTCATCGAGAATTGCTTTTGAGATTCAAGTTGTTGAAGTTTGAAGTATTATCAATATTTTTTAATGAAATACTTTCATGTTGACAAAATTCGGTCTGGTTGATGACTCCTAGTCTCCATATATCAATGATTATTTACTTCCTATGATTTTGAACTAATCAGAACGTTCAAATGAGTTGAGCTACCTTGTATAATCCACCAATCAGAAATTTAGATTTATATCCATTTCCATAGTAACTATAATGCATATAGTTACATACAACATGTCAGTTTAACAAAATAATCCTCCCGCTTCGCAACATTACTAAAAAGAAAAAAAGAAAAACAATGAAAAAAAAACACTTAAAGATGCTTTGTTGTAAATCTCTTTTGGCCAATCACAGAGTTTGCAGAATCAAGAAGGAACAAGTTATGTTGTCTTCCATTTGTCTTCTATTATAATTCGGAATTTCCGAATTTCTAGTAAATATAAAATTAGATTTAATCATTTTATTGATGATAAGATAGGAGATAGGATATAAAAAACCATCAAATGTATAATTAATGCGTGGATTGCATCTTTTTCAGCTTGGAGCGATAGGAGTTGGTCGGACAAGAGAGCTTTGAGTTTGGACTTGGATAAGCAACCAGTGCCCCCTAAGAGAAGCGTACATAGGTCCAATTTGCACCCTCATACTAATACGAAAATTATGGTAGTTTGGTTGGAAAGTTTTGAGGATCATCTAGAATTACCCATAGGTATGGCAAATCCAAGATACAAACAAGTTTATTTATGTTTATATGTTTTATGAAAATCATTTTATATTTGATGACAATTATTCTCTACATCACAGTATAATTTAGACTGCAATTTGATTTTTTCATACTAATTTTTGATCATATAAAGACAAATCGATAATTATTGTGATAAAACACCCAATGACACCCTCTCTTACATGATAGCGGGACGAATGACCCGTCCACCTGTGGTCATTCATAACATGATATAATTCAAATATAAATATTCCTATAGTTATAATAGAAGCATCATTATGTAAAATAACAATAATAATAATAATGATAATAATATAAAGAAAATAGAGTGGTGGATAGTTGAGATTTTGGTAGGTAGATATGATCAGTAATGATATTTTGAGTCAACAAGTATGTGTATCTCTTTTTCTGATATTTTCAATACGTAATAATGGCCGAATGCGCGCACCATATCTTACTTCCATCATTGTTCTTCCTATTATGTTTTATTTAACGACAGGACTCTGGCTTCTTTTTGATAACTTGATTATCAATGGTGACTTGACAACCTTGCTTCGTGAGTGGGAATGGAAGATTATCTGACCAATAACGAAACAGCATAAAAGCTGAAATCACAATTTATTCGACGAGTCACCAAATGGTGGTCATGACGACGGTACGTTTGAAATGAGTTCCGAAATTTAACAATTTCGAACAACGCATACACTCATTATTTACATAAGAAAAGTGTGAGAAGTGTTACAAAAATTGATTTAGGTCCTTAACGACACAGTGGAGTGATTGAATACCAATAATGGGCTTATATCACAAAAAAAATTTATTCCATAATTCGATAGAACTCACCCAAACTAGCTCACCACCGCAAACCGTTTATCGCTGTGAGCTCCCTACGTTTTATAAAAAAATATTGAAATCCCCTATTTTTCGGACCTCTGAAAACGAGGCGATGATGTGACGTCAAAACCCTAATACTGAAACAGGACTATTCCAGACAGAGATGAATGATACATGATTTCTGGCAGAGTGAATTAGCGCGAGATCACAGTTGAAAGAATTAATATATCAGTTGCCTCAGTCTCCGTCCGGCGTTTGGTATTTTCTTTTAACTATGGCGAGATGAGGTTTCTACGTCATAAGAGGGTCCGTTTTCAGATGGTACTATTATTTATGTCCAAAAATTGAACATTCCAGTAAATTTTTCGATCGAATTATGTCGTCAATCATTATTTATGTATGAAAGGATCATTATAAACAGGGTTTGAGTTGAAAGTTCTACCAAGGTGTACACGCCCATTCATTGTCAGTCCACTCGCCCATTGTCGATTTGGCAGCGGTTCCACATTGTGATGTATTTTCTTCAGAGGAAATAAGCAAAATTTTTCTTCTTAACTAGTTACTCTGAGGTGTACAATCTACAATCATTATTATTACAGTGTCTCTTTGAATCAATAAACGCAAAAATTCTGTCCTTTCACTTGACGAACAATTATTAGTTATCAACAATTCACCGCATTTGAATTTGTTACTCTAGTGGTTAATGACTGCTTCTACTCCTTTCAATTTGATCTGTCACACCGGAATTCAATGTGGATATTGTGCATAATTTCCGGAATGAAAGATTAACTAGCCTCAAATTTTTCATCCTTTGGGGCCTGTAAGTTATCAAAATCAATGTTGGATTAATTCATTGTACCAATATTTCACTAGACGAATTTTGTAGAAATCTTATCGTTTGTCAAGAGGCCAGGACCGTCTCTCACCTATTAGATGCCCTGGGCACATTAGAATAATGGGGCCCCTATGACCATAATAAAGTACCATTTTGTTAGAATAGACAAATAACGTAGAAATGCAAAGTTTTAGCATTATTTTTATTTCTTTACAGTTACATTAGATATGATGAATAGATTATATCATTTAATCCACACTAAGTAACCAGCATCCACGATTAGTCCTTATACTCATTATATAATTATCTATGCTGATTGAAGAGGTACTCTTCTAGATTTGAGTTGAGCAAAATCGTTAATAACATCTTCAAAATCTATGTTTTCGAGCATATCACATTCTATTGACATTAGCGACAAACTATTCAATCTCTCTTGAAGCATTGTACTTCTTAATTAACTTTTTATTCTCAGTGCGATTATTGCGAAAGGCAATTGAAATGAAAAATTATATTGAAATTTGAACATGCTGCATTCGGTAAGCCTGATTTTCAGGCGGGAGTAGAGTAGCTATCGGGACTAGGGGGCCCCAATCCTCGCGGGGCCCTGGGCAAGTGCCCAGTGTGAAAGAGGTTCCTGCAAGAGGCTCTTGAATGTAATGTTTTTCCTAGGTGATCTGTTGAACTGCATGAACACGGGACTCGAAAAGGACTCCATACCGAAAACGAGCGAAGTTCTAATCATATTTCTGCATCTCCTATCGACTGGGCTGTTCAGGGTGCACCTGCAAGGTCCGACGGGTCGTGTCAGTTTGGCCTCTCCCTTGGTAGATGGCATGGTGGTCAGCCGAAGGGCCTTGGGGCCGATGGTCAGGCATACCGCTCTCAATATGGCACGGAGAAGACGATTGGACTCCGACAGGTGAGTCATTGTGGAACTAAATGAAGACCTAGTAGGCCACCTAGTAGGCGAGGAGGAAACTAGGTTTCTCTAGTTTTGACTAGGGTCCCTTGACGTTAAAGTCATCTTATCAGGGTACGGACAGATCATAGCTGCATTCTTTTTTAATGATCTAGAGACTTTAGTTTTGTCTACTGGCATCCCTGATATTGCTGTCACGTCACATCCATGGGCGCTACAGAAAATCATTCTAGATTTTAATAATAGGTATGTACAGGGTATTTACTTGTTGAGGAAGGTCATATTATTATTGCGAACGAGTTTTGTAATTATGATCCGATTCTATTCAAAATTGGTATCTGGGGGTTTAAGGGGTAGGGGATAATGATTGTTTTGTAAAAATTGGAAAATGCAAGATGACGGATCCAATATGGCGAAAGACATGTTTATATAAATATTACTCTACCACAAATATAAAATATGTAGGATGCAAGAGTGAAAATAACGTGCCTATAAGTTATACTGCGTATACCTACTTCTTTGTTACTTTCATCAATAAATTATACATAGTGTGATATTAGTATAACTCCATAAATTCTTCTCCGAGTTGGATTTCCGAAAATATATTTAGCACACATGACATGAGTACATCGAGGTTTTCACCATTTCTCAATCATAAAAGGCTCTGCCCATTCAGATCATAGATAAACTACTGCTCAGCTTGAAATCAGAATTCATTCAATCAATTCAATCAACCCTGGTATGCAGTCTCTTCTGGTGAAATATATTAAAAGCTTTCAGTACAATTCATATGTTCCCTACTTTGCAAAATTATGCTGCAGTAGTAAACTCTAAAACTAGAGGATTGTTCATCTATATCTTGGTATAGTTGAATCAGGAATTCCATATGGAAATTACGTATGATACGCCAGTGACCTCAAGATAACCTAAAAAACAACGAATGTCAAAAATCTAGTGCTTATCCCCAGAATTGGATAAGGATGAAACTATATAACTGTTTCACAAACGCTTTAGAGTGAGAGGAGACGAGGATCTGTCCGTACCCTGTTAAGATGACTTTAACGTCAATTTCCATCAAGGGACTCTAGTTTTGACTAGGGTCCCTTGATGCAAACTGACGTATTTGTCATCTAACAGGGTACAGACAGATCCTCGTCTCCTCTCACTCTAAAGTGTTTGTGAAACAGTTATATATTTCCATTCTTATTCAATTCTGGGGATAAACACTCGATTTTTGACATTTGTTGTTTTTTAGGTCATTGGCGTATCATACGTAATTTCCATATGGAATTTCTGACTCAACTATACCAAGATATAGATGATCTCGCATATTTTGCTCAATTTACCGATTATCCTGTTGGGTCTCTTCATGATTGTTTACTTTCCATGTATTTAGTTTATCTTCATCTGTTGGAAAGCTTACAAATTTGAATTTGCCATCTACCTGACTGGCACAGCCTAACACAGCTCATTTCGTCATTTTTTCAAAAGAAAATAGGAAAATATCATATTCAGTAAATAATATATACTTTATATTTAATCGAAAAATTTTTCATTTTCTTGAATTTTATAATCATTGACATTCAGAAATCATTTGACACTGTCAATATTTTCTTTTTTTAATAATATACAGAGAGTTTTTGGAACAAATAATAAATATCATTACTAGATGACTTGCCAAACGTTGTTTTGCTATGCACAATATTTCTAGAATGCCAATAATTCATTGTTCTAATCCTAATGGCCTATTTGCTTTTGGTAATCAATTATCAGGGCCCCAGCAGTATATATGTATCTTTTTTCTACAAACGTCAAAAAATGACAAGGTTCGCGTATTGATAACAAATTGCGAAGTGACACTTTTTTTCAGTTTCCTACGTTACCATGATATCTTGCACAAAACTATGCGCGAAGTAAAACAGTGCGCGAAGTACCTACTTCGCGCATTGTTATGCAAATTATATGAGATATTTATATTTCAACTTCATGGTCCTCAATCGAGCAAACATCCACGAAATCATTAATTTCTGAATGTTCAACAATAACTTTGTTTTATCTCTTGGAGCGCTCGAAAGGAAAGTCCTATTATGTTCGTGGAACATCGTGCGTACCTAGGGAGAATATAGGGGAGCCCAGGTAGAACATCATATTGGCTAGAACTTGGTTTCACATTAGCCCAATATTCGAATATTGAATATGGAATAACTAGATTGTCCCACTATATCATACCAATTTTTCATTTCAATATTCGATCATCAATCCAGTGCGAATGTTGGGATGAATTTGGTGACCAGCGGATATCAATTTGCCAATATCTATTTGATATTGGTGAAATATTAACGATTACAATATGTCAATTTTCATGATGGGCTGATATTGTATTTCCAATATCAAATCAATCTTGGAAAAAAATATTGCATCAATATCCGATTTATGTTGGTTAGTGAATATTGTATTTCATTGTCCAGCAATATTGCACTGATATATTGGCTCTTTAATATCATTTCGAGACCTTTAAGCCAGTTCAACACTAATTTTTATATCAAGCTAAGCATATTTTTTCTTTAGAACTATATTTTTTGACGTTTGTAGAAAAAATGTTGTTTGCAACTCGAGCGCGAAATACTTTGGTTATCTCGACTATTTTTTTAACTCGGCTACGCCTCGTTAAAAAAATCAGATCTCGATCAACAAAGTAGCATTTCGCGCTCTAGATACAAAAATAACTTATTAAATCAATGAAAATAGGTTTTGCATGATCCCTAAAGTTAGCTGGAACCATATCTCTGATTATTTTTTCTGGGATATAAAAACATTATGTGACTTACGGGTAATTTCGGCGGCTCCTCCGTTAGTAAGTTAGACTCTAGTCAAATCACCCTTCAGCCTATACACTTAAAAACCACTCCATAGAGGTTTGTGTTGGTTAGGTACAGGCACAGTATATTATCGTTTTTGATGACAAGGAATGCTCAAGTAAATTCTTTTTTTTTAAATTTGGATTCACTAGGATTCATATGTAGGAATTTGAGGAATGTTTTTTATTTTTATCCCCCCTTCTACAAATTTTCAATTATAAAACTAGGATACTATATTTTTGTTCATATTTTTATTAATACTTCAGTTTCAATATTCAATACATTCTTGTATTGAAATGATTGAAAGTAGTATTTATTCCTGCAATTCAGACTAGTTGTTGTCATTTTACCATATTTTTTACAGTTATCAACCTCCACATCTAAGAAGACGAATAAAAATTCAGGAAATTGTGCAAAAGTACAAGAGAGAAATGAGCAAACCAGAATTATTAACATATTTATTCAGTAGCACTTGATGGAATTAAACAATGCTCTGTTATATTTTCACCAATATTTATTTATTAATATATTAAGGTAAAATAAAACTATTATTGAAATACTCATAGTGAGTTTGTGATTTTTCTTCTCCTCATTGCTGCCAACCAGTCTTCAAGTTGTTCATGGGGTTGTTGGGGGAATGGTGAATAATAATGCTTAGGAGGAGCACCTTCCTCTAATCTGACATAATAATGACAATGTTTGTATTCTACTCTACCAAACCGCGCCCTACCATGTCTCCTTATACCTTTGATGACTCTTCCTTTGCCAACAAAAGATTCAGCTGAAAAATTAATTTAAATAAATGAACAGGACATTTTGGAAAAAATATTCTTTCTTCAAAGGTTCCTCATGATTTCAAGAGAATTTACCATAGGTTGAACAATATTTTTATTTTGAAACTTCACAGGGACATAAAAATTTAAGTTATAAATTATAACTGCTCTAATTTTTTGACCTGTATGGGAACCCCTGTGATTTTTGTAGACATTTCACAACCAAAGGGATGATTTTATTCTGCTCAATTCAACAGGAAAACATACATCCAGTTATAGTCATAAATACATATAAAAAAATAATAATAAAGGGTTAACTAATGAATTCCACTCAGTGGAAACGAATTAATATTGTTTCTTAAGATTAAAGTTATATTTCATTCCTAAGTAATCAAATCATGCCACATATTTTTCATTCAAATTGTCCTGAGCAAGTATTTTTTAAGATTGATTTTAATCCTTCTTGCATCATGTATATTTTTCAACTCATTTGGTAATGAATTGTATAAAATTATTCCATTCTGAAAAACAGATTGTTGGCCAATGTTTGACTTGAATGTATTTGCTCTCAAGTAATTCAATTGTCTAGTCCCATAATTATGGACTGTATTGACTTCATTAAAAGCTAAATTTTATATTTTAAATTTATTCCTGGCAAAATGAATAAAGCAACATAGAAAATGTCTTGGTTTGTATAAATTTATCGTTGGTTCTAGAAAATGTAGATGAAAAATGCACTTGATTGATTTGTTTTGTAATTTCATTAGTGGTTTCAGACATGAAATATTTGTCCCCCAAGTAGAAATTAAATATTGCAAATTTGAATAAATGAGGCAAAAGTAAATACATTTCAAGTATTTTATGGGAATAAAATTTCGGATTTTGAATAAAATGCCTATGATTGGATTTATTTTATAAAGAGAAGAAATGGAATATTCTTCATAACCTAGACAAAAAAACTGGTGTATGATTATTATGCTGGTCTTATGGTATGCATGCATCCATGACAACCCAGGAATCCCAAAAAGTGCCCAACAGGCCTATAGAAGTTAACACTTCATAAAGAAAATTTCAAATCATCATATCTATCAGAAGAATGGTCCTATTTTACTCCAGGTTGTTCTCTTGGCATTTTTTCTCTCTTATACAGTTTTGAAACCAGTTATTTTGGTGAAAATCTCAGTGGAAACATAATATAGGGAAATCAGGTAGTAGTTGAATATACACAATGACATAGAAAAATCCATAGACATCAAAATCAATCCATCAGGGAGATGAATAGGTTAATAATTTTATTTTCAAATATGTCATGATTTGAATGATTTCAACACAGTGAAATAAAGGAAAAAGGTATGAAAATAATTTCAACAAATATTGTTCAAGTGAAAATTTCAATGGTCCTCTGGTTTGTTTTGTTGGCATTTTTTCATGGAATATAGTTCTCAATGCATTGAAAAAATCCTGATAGATCTATGCATTCTGTTCAATATACTTATTAGAATCTTCTTCAATTTGTTGATTTTAGTCTACTAATTTTCTATTATAGTGCTAATAAGAAGTTACATACTTGTTTCAATATACTCATGGGATTATTTTTCAATTAGTTGAATTTATTTAGCATACATTGATCAGTAGATCAACTTACCAACCCACATATTACTTGGAAACTCCACATTGTGCTCTTTGACTGCCATTTCTTTAGCTTCTTCTAATACTTCTCTTACATCTTTGGCACCTTTTTTTAGCACGAATTTGAGCTGCTTGATTGCTTCATCTACAGACATCCCCCTGATGAAGCTAGCAACATACCACATCTTCAAAGGGCTGTACTTAATATTTGTTCTTTGGTGGCAAACATACTTTAAAAGAAGTATACATGTTTCAGTTTACCAAAACTTTTTAGTATTTGTTATAAACATACAGCTAATCTTGGTACTTCATCTGGAGTTTGTGGAGGGTAAATTTTCTGGTTGTATTCCATCCAATGTGTAGGGTGATCATCATTGTTAGAAGCTTGGTTCCTGCAGCTAGTATGGATCTTTTCACATTGTGTTACCATGGGTTGATATAGTTTGAAAGCTGTAGCAAACAGATACCTAACTTTGGTTAGTGCCATTCCTGAGGGAGAACCTAGACAGAACAATGAAGGAACTAGTAGTCAGAAAAAATTAAAATTAAATTTGAAATTAAACATTTAACCCTTCTTTCTCTCTTCTTATTATTTTCTAATAATCTTCTTCTTCTTATATTTTTTTGACTTTTAGCTCCAAACAATCTCTTGTTCTATAAAGACATGCATACAACCCTATATTGTTTTTATAGAAGCAGGGTTCCAACGACTTTTGCTATTTTCACACGTTTGCCCGATTCTTCTGTGGTTGTTGTCATCTAGCAATAATTTTAGTCTAATAGTTAGTTAATTTCGATTGTTGTAGATTCAAACAATGCGGGCTAACATTATCTATTGTCCATTGATAAATATACTCCTTATTTTCGTGTATAATTTGGACTTTTGCTATATCTTCTTCTCCGTCAATGTAAGAATTGGTAGTAAAGTTCCAAGGTTAGTAAGAATCTCTTCATTTTGAAAATTGAATAGAGCTAATCGTTTGTAAAAATGTATTTATAAAATATTCTTCATTTTCGAAAATGACGGAAAAATCAAAAGATGTTCCAGAACCTAGATTTACACTACACTCAACAACAAAATAAATTATTAAGATATTAAGTAATAAAAAGTTTCCAAATTGATAAATACAGACACAGCTTACAGCACCATCTAAAATTCCACAGACTGATGAACATTTTCTTCATGGATGTGATGTGTGCTCATCAATAACAATGTTGATTATTGTTGATACAAATCTAATCGGATTATTTCCATTATGACATTTGAATAGGCCTTTTCATCTAGATATATTTTTGAGGCGCATGCGCTCGTTTTTAGATCCAAAAATTTATTGGGTAATGCGAAGGTGAAGTCTCATTGGCTATAGTTCCAACACAAATTGCTGATTGGCCATTTCGAATATGGCGGTTATTATTGACGTTCTGTCAAATGTCAACCACCATGTGCATTCGTCATAGAGAAACAACTAGTATTTTTGTTTTTATATTCCTGGTGTGTATTAAGTGCATTATGAATAATTTAATTCCAAAAAACTTACTTGCTCCTTACTGAGGAGTGTGGTACTATGGAACAATGGTGTAAGTGTTTCGGTAAAAATGGCCACCACTGTCGTTGGATGCGAGAGGCATTTGTCATCTAAATGAAAAGGCTTATTAACAAAGTTCTTGATGACAAATTTCAAGGATATTTTGAAGGGATCGATTTATAATGTCTTGAAGTCATGTAAAATGGAGTCATATACGCTGTGAGGCCATTTGTATTGCTATAAAAATCTATTGTCTAATTATTAGATCCAACAAAATACATAATTTGGCAGTTCTACCGGCTCTTGATTTTCTGGTAGTTAACGAATTTCTGATAGGATGCATTCAAGAGCTGATTCAGATGTTTTGTGAGGTGGTGTGAAAGTGGAGATAATTCCCTAATCAGCTTATCCTGAAAAATTATATCATTTTAATATCTCTAAGATTAGTAAAACTACTAGAAATTTGATTTTTAGAAGGAAACATTTTGCAGGGTATGGAAGCAACCATTCATTACCTCAAAAGGTTTAAGTTTGGCAGTGTGAAATCTATTGAGTGCTTCATGCATTTTCACAAGTTTGGCCTCTGCATTTGGTGTAGTAGGAGGAAAACAGCCCCAAAAATGGTGAAGCAACTCACAAAGTGCCAAATATAAATTCCTTACTTCTTTTTCTATATCAGGTGGAACCAATTCTACAATAAATAATATTTGGATATTCAAAGATCCTATAACCTCCCAAAACTCAACCAAAAACTCACGTGCTAATGATTGTTCTTGGAACCCTCTCATAAGACCACCACCTGGAGACAGCTCTCCCAGGGCTCCTACAGCAGCGGCAGGGCTCACTAGTGAGCCAGAAGAATGCCTGCTACTCCATTGTCTTGTCTCTTGAAGGACCCCTCTCAAAACTGTAGTAGCCTCACTTGCATTCCAATATTCAATAGCAGAATCTGGCATAGGGCCATGAAGGTACCTTTCCACCTATTAAAAATGTATTTTGTAAATTTCCAGGAAGCTGTTGAGGTAATTAAAATTAGTTTTTTCTATACATTATTTACATGAACTCATTTCCCAATAATGTTGCAAATCAAGTATATCATTTTTGATGAAATTAAATAGATTCTGATATAGTTTCTATTTTCTAACAAAGAAAACACATTATACTTACCATGTAGTTTGTCCTACAAGAAAATTAGTGAAAAAAGTAAAGGATAGGTACGTACCCAACAGTAGAATTAAGAAGAAATGTTAACAAACAGAATAAAATGATACCTTTGATAGATTTAGTGGACGTCCTTGCATATTTGTTTCTTCCACTTTATCTTCTAAATCATCATAAGTAATTTTTTCCAATATCCTTTGTCTTTTGCTGACTGGCCCTTCATCTTTCTTTTTTGCAGTAGAACTTGTGCCATTTGTACTGGATTCCTTTGATTGAACTCCATTTTCTTGCAAGGGGTTATCACTGTTTTGATTTTTTGAAGCTTTCAGAACCTTGAAAATAGTGAAAATTACTTTGTAAACAATGGATGTTACTCTAGACTACCATTATTGAATGTTGATTGAATCTTTTGATCATAGCTTGACTGACAGTGCCTGAGGTGCTATGTGTTTTTTCATTCCTTGTTCCATATCCTTCATCAATTGTGTTATCTTCAAATTCAGTCAAATTCACTAGAGGGTCATCCACTCCAGTCTGTATGTCTTTCTTCATTTCTTGATCATCTATTTTACCACATTCTGTGAATATGTCTTTGCTCTCTGCATATTTTCTGTCCCTAAACAAGGATCCAGAAGAATTGTTGTATCAATAATATGTTATTTTGAGCTACATACCTATGGAAATAATGAGATTGAAAAAATTTGGTCCAGAACTGAGATTCTGTCAACTTTGAAGGTACATTATCTATGTACTTTTTTTTCACAGCCGGATATGTCTTGAATATACACTCAATAATATCAGGGGTTATGTTATATTTGAGTCCATTACAGCCATCAGTTTGAGGTTTTATATCAGCCAGAAATGCTCCAGAAACACCTAAGATTCAACATACAACAAAGAACACAATAACAAGATGACACAAACCTATTTCTTGGGGCTGTTGTTTCTGATTTTTCATGTATTGTTGAGCATGTTGTGCCCAAAATTCTTCAGAAGATACAACTTCTGCCATCACTAAGTCTTTGTATAATTGTAATAAGGCAGGATTGCTGGAGAGAAGCTTGTTTTTTTCCTCCAATTCTTTGTCTACCTAAAAATAGGAGATTCAATATTTGAAGATCCCTTGAAAGTTTGAAAATATATACTTTTCTTTTGAATTTTGGAAGTAGATTTTGTAACATTTCTTTCACTTTATCCCTGTCGGCGATTTGAGCTTGAGTGCCATTTTTACTTGTGAAGTGAAAGGTAGAAGATACCCCATTATGAAGAACTACTTGTAACTGAACTTTGGCTTTTCCTTCTGGAGAAATCTTTTGTGCTACCAACAATAGATTTGAGTAGAGCAACACTTTTATATTCTCAAACGTGTTTTTACTTACATTTTATATCTGCATAAGGATGGGACACCGCCACTGTATCTTTATTTTCTACCATCCAAATTAGTCTTTGGTCCATGAGAAAAAGGGATCCATCACCTTTTTTGTATCGTACATGAGGTACTTGCAAAAGGACATCCTCCATGGAAGTAGACATTGTATAAAAATTACGGAGAAATGTATTTTATAAATAAAATTGCCACAAAATCCAGCCCCAAAATCAATCCCAAAATAACTAACATAGCCTCTGAAAGTCTTCTTCTTATTTGTGTTTGCTGTATCCTTGGTTGCTTTCTACTTACGTCAAGCTTCTTGAAGTAAAAAAAGTGGTCTCTTCCTTCTAAAGCCTCCAGCTCAGATATCCATAACCATAATCACAGTATGACATAATATGACGGATATCAAAGGAACGAAACAAATATGAAGAAGAGATGTCAAAAAGATAAACAAGTTTTATTTTGACAGTTGCAGAACAACAATTTTGACGTATGTAAAATATTTTCATTTTATTCTGAAATTAGGGCACCTTCCTAGCAAAAATCCTCGATGATGTATCATCCAAAAATATACGAGTATTACCTTAACACTTAAGTACTGTCAAACCTTCCTCAAAGTTATTGAACAGTAATAAAACATTCTTTCCAAAATGGTGAGTCTCTGTTATCATATATTATGAAGTACCCTATCTCATCAAAATCAACCAGTTTTAGTTGAACCCGTTGAAAATGGAACTGAAGGTATGGGTGGAAGGCATCCAGCGTATTGTTTGTGGCGTTAATGAAACCACCACTTGTCAGGTATGTCTTCAAAAATGAAACCAACTTTATATTACCTGATTCTATCATTATCATTTTGAAGGATGTGGTTTTTGCCTTGGCACACGCCACAGGCAAGTCTGGCAGATTCACATTGATAGAGAGATGGAGGAACAATGAAAGACAACTATCCCCCAATGAAAATCCAATGAAAATCATCATGAAGTGGGGGGAATATTCCAGTGATGTCCAATTCATCTTGCAGCACAGTGATAGCAATAAAGTACAACAAAAGCCTAAGATTTCAAATAGTAGCACAACAACACATTGCTCCAATACTTCAGACTCCCCTGAAAGGCAAAGATTAGGTTTTGGGTAAGTACAATTCCAAGGAATATTGATGAAGCAAACTATTTTTTCTCTAATCATGTAGCAGCTATGCACCCAGCCCAGAGAACATTGGCATAGTAAGGGGTGTTCCTCAGATGAAACCCATGTCACTGGAAGTGAGAGAGAATTACTCAAGTTCCCCACATTCCTCTCCAAAAAAAAGCAGTTACAGTGGGTCAGATGTTTCAGATTCTCCTAGTCAGAGCAGTCATAGGGTTGCTCCTCCTTACAAGGATCCTCCTGCTCCACCCCCTTACAGAGATCCACCCCCTCCCAATGCAGCTGTGAATCATGACAAATATAAAAAGGGGTTGTTACAGGTAAGGAATTCTTTATAGCAAATTCCATTGGAGCAATTTGAATAATGCTACATCTTCAGGTTACTGAGAAACATTGTCAGTAGACATTTAATTATCAGTTTCTATTATAGTCTTTTTCAATCTATTCTGGCTTATGGCATGATAGGCTGGGGAGGTATATATAAACAAGCTTTGAAACCACTTATATCAATTCAAAAATATGCCTTGAAAATTATCTTCAAAAAACCTTTTGATTATTCTTCCAACATCCTCTGTGAACATTATAATATTCTGTCTGTTGATCAATTGTTCTATAAAACATCAACAATATACATAAGAAAACATTAACAAAACTATAATCATGTAAAACATAAATATGACACCAAAAATAAAATTGATGGTTGGATATCAACTGAGAAATTCTCTTCAACTTTAATGCAACAACATGCTATTCATATAGTTGAAAAAAATTTACAATAAATTGCCTCCTTCTTTGAAAAACATCAGTTTTTTTATTCAAGAAAAAAATTAAATTGTGGTTGATTGAGAATTTTTGAAAATTTGATTATATGATAAAAAACTTAGGCAACATTTCATGTTTTTCATAGTTATTTTTGGATAATATAAAATTGTATTTAATATGTTAATTGTACTCAATTACAAAATGAATTTTATTTAGTCAGTGAAAGGAAAAAAATATTACATAATCATGGACAAGTTTTCAACTTTTTTGAACATTTATTTTATAAAAAAACTAGCTGACCCGGCAAACGTTGTTTTGCCATAAACATTATTTCTAGAAAAAATTTTTTAGATAAACTTTCATTATTTTATTTCTACTTCTTTTTAGTTTGTCAATCAATAAAAGCAGCATTCTTTAGTTTTTCAAACTATTCTATTTATTTTCTACTTCTTTTTAGTTTGGTACTCTATACCTCTTCATTTTTTCAAACTACTCTTTATTTTCTACTCACTTCTTTTTAGTTTGGCTATCTATAAAAAGGTGTTTCATTAGTTTTTCAAACTAATATTTATTACAATAGCTGATACCCGGCAAACGTTGTTTTGCTATATACAATTATTTATAGAAAATATTTTTTTTTGGTTAAATATTCATCAACATACTTTTATTATTTTGTTTTCTAATTCTTCTCCGACCCCGAAAACACCCAGATACAAATTTTGAATTGAATCGGATCATAATTACAAAACTCAGTTGCCATATTGGATACTGCTCCATCTTTAATTTCCTAATTTTGATGAAGAATCATAATCTCCGATCCCAAAATCCCCCAGATACAAATAAGGAATGGAATCGGATCATAGTTACAAAACTCGTCCGCCATATTGAATCTGCCATCGTGGATTTCCAAATTTTGACTAAAGAATCCGACCCCCCCCCCCCCCCGATACCAATTTTGCATAGAATAATGTGATCATAAATTAAAAAACTCGTCCGCGAAATTGGATCCGCGCCGTTTTGAATTTTCCCATTTTGACAAATGATTCATATCTCCGACCTCTGAAACCTCCAGATACCAATTTTGAATAGAATCTGACCAAAATTACGAAATTCGTCTGCCATATTAGATCCGCCATCTTGAATTTCCAAAATTTGACGAAAGAATCATAATCTCCGACCACGGAAACCGCCAAATACCAATTTTGAATGAAATCGGATAACAATACTCGTCTGCCATATTGGATCCGCCATATTGAATTTTCGATTTGAAAAATAGATTACGACCAATTCTCATACCTACCGAATACGCACAAAAAATTTCATAAGAATCGGTCGAGCCGTTTCGGAGGAGTTCGACCACTAACACACCACTAACACCATGACCAGGACAGTAGAATTTTATATATCAGATGTATATTATTATTAATACAGGGTTATGATAAAGTAATGCACAAAATTCATAAAACGTACAACGATCACTTTGAAAAGAATGCGAAAACACGTCAAACTGATTTTTTTATTCCGCATCTTTTGACATAAGTTACAAAAATAACACGTCAAAGTTGTCAGATTTATGACGTCATCAAAAAATTGTTTTAATGGGAATTCAATACTTGGTTCCATTACTTGTTTTCACAGCTACCTTTCTGATTCATATTCATTGTAAATTTTCATTGGATTTCAGTACACACTAAAATTAATAATCCAGAATCCAGTCCAGATAAAACTTTTTTGTCCTTTATCTTCATATAGACATTTATGAATTCAATGTTTTAGGAGGCATCAAAAAATCATAGAGAAAAAGATGATGGTAGAAATAAGTTACAGGAAAATGTATTATATAATGCTCAGTATAGGGAACTGATTTCCTTGATAAATTTCCAGAGAGATAAGTTGTCCAGTCAGCAGGCTGATATCACTAAAGTGAGGGATTTGATTTCCTGCATAAAATGGTTTCTAAGTTTTCTGTTTTTCAGTATGATGCTGAAATAGTGTTTCTAGAAGGTAAGGAACGTGAAAAACAAATGCAGCTAGATTTTATATCCCAAGAACTGATGACCATATCAAATGTCAGCAAAAATAATCAAGAACAAGTAAGAATCAATTGAAATTTATCTGAGTACATAATTATTTTTTGACATTTTGAAAGATCCAAGCTTTGAGTTATATGGAAGAAGAGAGTGAAATAGTCAACCAGCAAGAAAAAACCCTGCAGTCAGAAATAACCCTGCTTCGTTCCAAACTGGCCAATTGTGAAACTGAGTTACTACAATGCAAAAATAAAATAAGGTATCCAGATCAAAAATCATCATCAAAATTCTAGGTATTATTGTTGAATATTTAAGGTTACTTATGGATGAATTACATATTGAACAAAGAGCTCAAGGTCGGAGATCAGAATCTAGGAAACAACTGGAGAGAAATCTGCTTGTGGAAGTGGAAAGACTCCAAAAAGACATAGAGTTGGCTAAACAGAGCACTGATCTACACCACTTAACAGCTGAAACACTTAAAAGAGAGGTAATTTACTTTGATTGATTGATTATTTGATTTGATTATCACCCCAAGCAACAAAACTTTTTATAATAGGAATTCATAAACAAGTATTTGTTTATTCAAAATTATTCAAAATTACAATACTTGATTTCAATTTGGTACACAGCTAGGTTATCAATAAACAAAGTTATTAAATGTATATACAAACTAGATTACTTTGAATTAACAAGAAATCTTTATAAACCTAGGCAATTTTTAGATACCAACTTCATTTACAAATTCAAAATATTATCTTTATCACCACAAGCAACACAACTTTTTATAATAGGGATACATAAGCAAGTATTGGTTTATTCAAAATTACAATACTTGATTTCACGGGAAAAAAGTAATTTATGAAAAGTGACATTTTATAACCTGCCAACAGGGATGAAATGCCAAACTTTTTTCCCGTCACAGAAAAAATAACTATTTTTGATACAAATAACTCAAAATTCCATTTCTTGCAGATATGCCAGTTTGATTTTATAGCGCCGATATTATGTTTCTTGGGAATAATAAAGATTATTATTAATGATGAATGAAATGAATCATTAAAAAATAAAACATGCCATGTTGTCATTATGAAATCACCATAATGTACTGAAAGTGATGGCACTTAGAAACAAGTATTGTTTCAGGTTGTCTCATTAGAAACGGCAATTTTCGAAAAGAAAAGGCAAGTAGAACACCTAGTCTCCGAGATGAAGGAGGCAAATTTGCAAAGTCTCAGTATAGCACCTCCTGAAGATATAAGACAGATATTGGAGGGCCCCACAAAGGCGGGCAGTACTAGAAAAATGATCGGTTCCCCTCGTCAACTAGAGAATGCGGTACCCACGAATAAGAATCCACATGGTGTTTGGGTTTAGAAAATAAGAATTTGATGATCACTGTATTTATTTTCGTTGTCGAGTTCTGATGAGTTCAATTCGGGTGTTTCAACTCTACTTCTACAGGTTTTTATGTAGGAACTTATTTCAATAAGACAAGGTGATCCACGGTGGATGGCCTATTAGAAGTATCTGGAGAACGAAAAGACAGTACATTCTGAAAATTGTAATGCTTCGATAATTGAACACACAAAGTCATCTTCATAAATTTTAATGATTCCTGTTTTCCTTTGAAATTCCAGTCTACCATGAGTTTGTATGGAGTTTGACCAGAGACTAAGTAGTGTCTATAGAAATTTGTTGAAAAATCAGTTATTGATAATAGCAAATTTTATTATCGGATTCCCACAAAAACTGTCCCACTTTTTCTGTAGGAGTATTCACCAAATTTGCAATATGAAACGTGAAATAAATCAAGAGCCGACCCGGATGAAGATGCTCCTGCTACTTAAAATAGAACTTTCAAAACGGTAAAGTGATCAAATCAACTTTGCAATACTGCAATACTCAATGTATATCTCAAGAACATATAAATGTTCAAGTTTCTCATATTGTTTAGATGAATTTAATTTTAATTTTTGTACATAGAATCACCCCTGAAAATTAATGACTGTATATCTCGAGAACACCCTGTATTTTTCATTTTCGAAGTTAGATGAAAGATTGTACTGCATTAATCTTTGATCAGTCTAGTGATAAAATAGTAGGGAAATATATCAAATAGAATTTGAACATAAAATTTAAGTGCATCACTTCCGAGAGTCTTTTTTGAATCAGCAGATTGGTGTAAATTATCGTTGAGTTTGTGCTATTCGTGATTAGTACCTGTAAATTAAGTTGCAATACAGAATTCGAATTATTTTAGGTATCAAATACCTCAAGTCATAAAATCAAAAAGTTTCGTAGTATATTATAAATCGAGGAAAAAATATATCATTGTTATTCCCTTTTTCTAAACTCTTTAAAATATTAGGGGAAATGCAAAAATACAAAATTGCCAACTGGCTGCTAACTTTACAACACTTTTGCATTTCTCTTTGAATAAAAAGTTGACATTTTGGTCATATCTGTCAATTATTTCTTTTAGGCTTGTCACTTTTTGGTGTCGTCAAAACATTGAAGCATTTAATAATAGTATTTATTAGATCTTTTGCAATTTTTTTAGTGCTTTCTGAACATTAATGAAGGTGAGTTTCTTTAAATATTCGCTCTCGATTCTCGATTCGATCAAATGAATTGAATCAAAATATGTAATGATGCAATAATTATGTATCATCTTATTTATATCCTTTTTATGAATGAGTTGAACCTATAATAGGTGCTCTTTTTCAAAACTTGTATATTTCGAATTTTAATAAACTCTGTATAGTAAATATTTAGAAGTTTGTTGTGTAGCTACTTGTTAGTTATGTGTATTCAATTTTGTGTAACCTATTATTATAGGTGTACGGTCATTTCAATTTTTGATTTTTATCTTTTCTTTAAGTCTGATTCTTATAGCAATAATTTCTTACAAGCAAAGTAAACTTCGACTTGTAAGGTCTTATAATTAATATTTTCGAGCCATTTTTAGATTAAGTAAATTATAAAATTGTTATTTATTGATAGGTGAATGCAAATTCAGTGTTTGTTGTCAAGTCTGGATCGGTCTGGATTATGAATCTATTATAGGTGTTAAGTATATTTTTCACTTTCGCACCATTTTTTTCATTCTTAATCAGTTATTCACTGCCATATTTTGTTTCATATAAATTTTTGTTTTTCTATATTTTGAAATACACATCACAAAACAAAAATGCTTATTATTCTGTTAAACCTTCATTATTTTAACATAATATAAGTTGAGCTGCAATTTGACCTGCAATTTCTCTCAACATTTGATTCAAGACTATTCAAGAGTAAATTGCTCAATTTTTATTTCATACCTTTATGTGATTCGTTAGTTCATTTTAGGGAGAAAAGTTCCTATTTATATGTCCGGAGTTGCTTCGTTTCTGAGATACAGGGCGATGAAATTGAAGAAAAAAAAACTGTAATTACAAAATATCATGAATATCCTGGAACCGATTTGGTTGAAATTTGGAACTTCCATTTAAACTAATAAGGCGCTTATTTAGCCCTATTTAGATTGGAATTATTGGGGCCAGTGGCGTCTCAGTGGTCACCACAGCCAACAATATTGTAAAAAAAGTACGCCACTGACTTTTTTTTATTTTTATTTTAAGCAACTCAAAATACAACTTTTTGGTCTCTTGTATTTTCTTCATATCCAGCTTCGTTTTCGAGAAAAAAAATAAATCCACTGTATTGCATATCATGAACACCTGCATTGGAGAAATGAGTTTTTCATTATTTCCGCCAAAAATATATTTGACACTTAATATGTGGGAATTTTAGAAAATTTGACAAATAAAAGTTCCAAATTTCAACCAAATCTGTTCCAGGATATTCATATTTTATAATTACCGTTTCTTTTCTCTTCAATTTCAACGTCCTGTATCTCAAAAACGAAGAAACTCCGGACATATGTTCATAGGAACTTTTTTTCTTAAAATGACGTAACAAATCACCCACTGCAGTTACAGGAACCGTAGTTAGGAAACACCCTGTATAGGAACAAAGTATGTGTTCAACTGGAATATCAATTGTGGAAGTTTGCTTTGTTCCTGCATGTTCCTCTGTGTTTCACACTAATCAATAAGTTTTAACTAAAAGGTAAATGAGTTCCGAGTTTCATTATTATTTCAGTGAATACCCGATAGATGGTGGAACGTGTCGTATTTTGAACCATGTTTATTTTTAGTGTAAATTCAGTATTGACGTAATGATTACTGGGTAGTAGATATTTTGCGTATCTAGCGAAATTCTATTTTCAACAAATAGTGAGTATACTAAAAATTAATCATGGAAATGTCCGAGGGTGTAGGTCAGTATTTTATTAGTTGTTGGCTTTGTATTGACTTATTTGTGACATATTTGAGTTGCAATGAGACATATTCCTGATGCCTTATTTTTAGTTCAACTTTATTTATTTTTTGATGTATATATTTTCACTACCTACGCATTATTTATTATTATTGAAATTGCTGCATGTATTTTTTTGAATTCAAAAATCAGAGTTGATTATATATTGCATGCATAAAAGGTGAGTCAGTTTTTCGTAAGAGGACTTCAATAAGAGTTTAAAGAAGACATTTTTTCGAAGTGAATAGTTTCGCCACACTTATATAATAAAGCCCTAAAATATTGAGTATTTCAAGTGTGATAGTTATACCGAATTTCATTTCTTCATTTTGAAAATTAAAGGAGGGAATAACTTATTATCAAATTTGTTCAGTGAAAAACGGTTTTTGTAGAGTAATTGAAAAATTAATTGTGATTTTCTTTGGGACATTTGGAACGACATAAATTCACACGATCACAGTCCAAGATATGTTGCATTCGTACCTACATAATCAGTTTGACATATTGAACACTATGACAATGATAGCCGGAAAAATTTGACGAAATTGAAGATGCCAAACCTTCATTATTTCACATGGAACACCCTGTATTCTCTCACGTTTACGGTTTCAGATCTGAAAATTACCTTGAATTTTTATTACGTATCTCGACCTTCAAATATTGCCGTTTTTGATATAAATCGATTTTTTACCAAATAATTGTCAATTTTATGAAAAAAAAATGTCATATATATACTTTATATAGTCGTGTGAATTTATTTCGTTCCAATGTCCAAATGAAAATCACAATACAATTTTTATATATAGGGTTCCACACATATCTTGGGCAGCCGTGGAGTCAAAAATAGAAAACAAAAAACAGTTGTGTAGCAATTTTTATGGTCCATTCGGAAATGCAATTGAAAACAGGGTGTGCCATTTAAAAATAATAAATCATCATCAGAGCCGATATGTTGAAATTCGAACACCCTATATATAGATATGAAAATATGTTAGGTGATATAGTTCTCATGAAACACTATAACTGTTCTATTTGAATTTTTTCTATATATTTGACGGTTTGGCTAATATCGAAGGAGAGCACACTATTGACACCCCTGTATATGCACTCCACCTATCAATTTAATTTGCTATATAATTCAACCATTACCAAACGAGTCACAAAACATGAGTGGGGAACAGAGCATATATATTATATTATTATCGAATATAGGTACGTCGTATGCACTAGAGATTACTTTATTCTGTGTTGTTTATAATTTCATTGTGCCATTTTATTGTTCAATTCGCATATAATAGGTATACCGATCAAACTATACAGCAGAGATAAGTTACCCACAGAACATACAGTATACATACCTCTATCTACCTTATTAGTTTCAAAAAGTGCATTCAAAGTGGTAGTGGGTAGTGTGAGTCTAAATTGGGAAATATAATAATAAACTTGAGAAGATATATTCGTGCGGTTGGAGTTCTTAAAATTTTCATTAACATGAAAATTGTTCAGAAGAAAACGAGAAAACATAAACAAAGGCAAAGTACGTCTTATTTTGCATATCTATTTTAGGTATAATTCGTTCTTCGATATACAGGCTGCATTTATATAATGATAAGCTATTTTAAATGTTCTGTCAATATACAAGGTGTTTCAAAACTCAGTAGGTATCAATAAGATTTCAGGGGTTAATTTTTCAGATTAAAATAATAGTAACATTTATGTACCAAGGATGAAAAACTGTCTATTATAGTCGCAAGGGCGACCTGGTGAACTGGAGATTTTTTTGTGAATTTTCCGCTCAATTCACCAAACAAATGGACAGTGGACATACTATATATAAAAGCGTTGCGCACATTGCTGGAAATAAAATCAATTGTATTGCCCATAATTGTGTTTTTTTTGCATATATACGGTATGTTTTCTGATAATTGGTAAATAAATATTCGTGAGGTTATATTTTTATGACAAAAAGTTCCCACCTATACACTTTTATCGAAAAATCCTTTAAGGGAGAGGCCCTTCAAATAATAGTTACACCCTGATGGAGACGGATTTTCCTCAATATTTTCGAAAATAGGTAATTGATCTCGATAAAACTTATTTTATTCCAGCATCAGGTATATATTACTCCATTATTTTCAAATCAAAATATTATTATTGCGAAAACGGTACACAGTATTATTGAGTTTTATGAAATAAGGTACCTTCTGGATGTTGAATTCATGCAATACAAAATTTCATTACAATGAATAATCTCAAAAAATGTGTGAAAATCAAAGATTTTTCCAACACTTTGTATCTTGAAAACGGATGCCGTTTCGACAATTTTTTACTGAACAAACCCAACTTATTTTGAAGTGTTCTACCTATCTTAGCAAGGGGGTCAGGATTTTTTGAAACTCTCTGGTATAGTTCCTCACGAAATCAATAAAATAAGCCTTATATGATATAGCTATATTAAAAAAATATCAATATACGAATACAGGTTAAGAATCACCCTGTATTCTTTCAATATATTTTTCAGGATTCAAGATGTTAGACTACGAAGACGAATCTTCATCGTCATCTGGCGGCGAGTTGACACCCACTAAGAAAACGAACACCGCTGGCCCCCCTACTAATAATAATGCCCAAAATCATCCGTCGATTTTGTCCTCTTTGAGGAGCGTCTTAATTGTACTGAGTACTGCCCTGATCTGTTTTGCCGCTGCCAGAAATTCTATAACTTGGTGAGTAGAAAATAAGTACGATATTCATCTCATTTTTTAAAATGTTGTATAGACATCAGGCGCGATATC